AATTCTTGGCATCACGAAGTATCCCCATCTTGGCTGGTCCGACCCCCGTGTCTGCTGCTAAAACTTGTTGAGTTTGTGGCTGCTTTCAACCCAACCGATTGAAACCATCCATGCGGAAAAGACATGCTAAGCCATGCTAAGCCTCTAAGCTCGACTTAAGTCCCAACTATCAACTACTGTTGAAACCCATTCTTCATGGTGAATTCCATGTTTGATGGTGAACTCACCCCAGCTCCGGGTCCCGGACTCTTCGGTATCATCCAGGATCCTCTTGGCGCCCTTGGTGAGCTCTTTTTCGGACATCCTCAGCAGGGACGGCGTATCCGTTCCATGATTTCAATGTGATTTTGGTGGGAAAAAAACATGTTGGCCGAGAAATCGGAGGGCTTACTTATAGGATTTGGAAAAGAACTGGGCCCAGTCTGTGGCTTAGTTGAACTCTTTTTCATCCTCGTTCAGCTTCAGATTCGCAAACATCCTGATCAGGTTTACCAATATGGAAGCATTGCAGCAAGGCGTAGGTTTCGTTTAAAGGTGACATTTTAAGCTCCTTCTCCCACATGGATGAAAACGGACCTAACGTGGGCATGAGTTCAGGAGTGTTTTTTTGATGGACAGACTGCCAAAACGCATGATTTGCAAACTTAAACATTGGCCCAAAACAGCAATGATCCAACAAGAACAAGAACACTGTCTTTAGGTGTCTTTAGGGGACTCACAGATTCCAAACGTGACTTGAAAGTTCAATACAAGGACGATCGAGTTCAGCTCAACGTCCTGTTCTCGGCAAACAGGCTGCAACTCTGCACCAAAGCGCCAGGTAATGTGCCTATTGATCCTATTGTGCATGATTTTGTCATATTTTGCCTATAAGTTAAGTTCATGTTATATATCATTTTGTCGTGTACAATTTTATCTTCAGAGGTCAAATTACACCGTCCCATTTTCAAAGCTTAAGAAAACCGATCCCAAAGCTCAACAGCTTGGAGTTTGCCAAGGCACTCTGAGAAGCAACAGAACTGCGACTCGACACCGACCCGTCACACGGACAGCCAATGCTGCGGATGCACCTAGCTTTGTGCAAAATGTATGGCCAAATCACGAGGTTTGTTTGCATTCAAGAAACAAGTGGTACCGGTAGATTAACTTTAGAAATGGCAGGGGTTGATTTTTGAAGCCCAATGAGCACTGCGAAATTGTTTGGCAATGTCTGGCATGCTTCTCACTGAGATGTTCATCCACCATTTGGACTGAAAGTAGTCTTGAATTCTGACTCATGGGTTCAGGCGCCTTTTCAGGCAAAATGTCTGCAGAATCACTGTGAATCTGACTCTTCCCAGCCCCTTGGTCTGGGAGAGACCTAACAACTACAGCTTTGGCGAGGTGGCACAGCTGGAGGAGTGACATTTACACCTCAGGGCGTATGACGTATGACTTTTCTGGCACAATCTCAAAAACTTCATGCCACATGGCCATAATCGAGTGGCGACCCCAAAAGGTCGTTGAACGTTGACCCAGAGAGGGTCAACTACGCCAAAAAAATGCAGTGTGTCGGAAGACTGCGGGAAAAACCAGTACTGAACTTGGCTCACAGCCCCGAGACATCCAAATTGCTACTGAATCTGTTGCAAGCATCTGCAAACTTTGCTGCACTCCCACAAAGGTCGAAAAAAAAAACATCATTCTTTCATCCGGTTCTCTAAATTGTCTTGCACGATGCAGGTGCTGATCTTTTCCAAGATCATCCAAGATCCCTTTGAGATCTGGCAATGGCCCGAATTGGCCGATTGAATGCGACAAGTTGTGCACCTCCCACGGCTAAGACAGGCACCGAAAACGGGCCTCAGAGTGCCCTTCTATAGGAGCCTGGCTGCATGTTGGACCGGACACAAAGTCTGCCACGTAAAGTTGAACACCTCCCCATAAAACTATCTGTGCAAAGCCATCTTGCACCTGACTATGATCTTCTCAATCAACCGTTGGGGTTTACTCGGAATTCAGCCAGAAAACCAATTCTCCGAAACAAACGGAAAAAAACCAAGAGTGGACTAGCACAAGAGTCTCAAGAGAACACAACAGCTCAAACTCAGAGATCACTTCCACCAATCAGGGTTCACACTGCGGCCCTCACCTACGTGCAGCGACATTGAAAGTGCCAGAGTTTCTCGAAGTTCTGGATCTTCAATCCTGCATCTCTCAACCGACTCAACCGCCTTTGAAGTCTCGTATATTTCATACCTTCCCCCAACAAAACTCTGCGCAATTCGATCAGGATGATGTGATTCAGATCAAGACTCTGAAATGGTTCCGCAGTGGCTAGGCTGATGGGTGCACGGGGTTTGCTTGGAGATATTGAGTGGGCATTCAGTTCAAAGGCGTGGTTAACCGGTCGCCCCAGTTGCCAAAGGATGGGAAAACAAGGTGCATCCAAACTGGTGATTTCCACAGCCAGAACTGTCGAGATTCATCATGTCAAAGTGTTTTAAACATATGCTCCTGTATCAGGCTGTAAAGCCGAGAAAAGAGGATCTTGCTTAAGAATAGAGAATAATAGAGAATATATCCTAGAGTCCCATAGTAAGGCTTGTATCCGCTCTCTCACATGCCCAGCATGTGGAACCAAAATCTAGCGCCCCAGTGCTGGAAGAATCTTTAAAAAACTCTTCAAGACACTCCAAAATCATGAATGCTGCAAAAGAGTTTAAGAGGGTTTCAGATGGTTGAAGTGTCCACAAGCGAGGCAGAAAGCCGGGAAACTATATACAAGTGGCCTGGGGCCGGCAGCTCCTAAGGATAGTGAATTGCGCGTTTCCATGGCGGAAACCTTTCTTGCAGTCAGAAGTGAGCCAAACTCTGCGCCAGTGCAGTCCTCCAATGGTTCCAACGAAAGAGCCAAAGCTTTCTGCAAATCTTCGTCGTCCTTGCCGCTTTGCATGTTTGACTCTGCAGAATCATCTCCAGAGCTGCCCACAATAAAGTTCTATTTTATATTTTTACTATAGACATGCCAAATGAAGTGCCAAACTGTGCGCTATGAGATATTGCAGAATGCTTTCATTTCCGCTGGTGGATCGTTGGGGTGACCAGTCACTTGCGGCAGTAAGATTCAATCACTTGCGGCAGTAAGATAAAAATCACTTGCGGCAGTAAGTTTCAATCACTTGCGGCAGTAAGGCTCTTCGAAACCAATCACTTGCGGTAGTAAGAATATGGAAAACCAATCACTTAGTGAATAGGGAAACACAACCGCTACTCCACTTCCTGAGACTTACCATCCCACTTCAACCTTGGGGGGTGGGGTGGGGCTAGGGAAGAAAAGGGTAGGATCTACCAGCCACAACCGTTGCTTACATTCATTATAGGGAAACACTGGGGCTAGGGAGTGATTGAATCTTACACCCATATGGGGTTGTATAAAAACCCCGTATTTTTTTAAATTACCCAAAATCACGTTATCGTGGTTTTTCCTCTTATCGTTTTCTCAGGTGGTGAGCTCCCTGTAGACAAGAAGTGTGAATTTACCAGGCTTCCATGGGTGTGAAAGAATTGTTCGTGGAAGATCAAAACATATTGTCCTGTGTGCAATCTTCAACATGGATCATAATCGTGAAGCATCTCAGCACTTGACTAGCTTTCTGCAACTCTTTTTTTGGTCTGTGAGATTAGGGCATTAGGGCAAGGAGTCCGGGACATTGCTTTTTTGCTTCTGAAATTGCACCAGGTCCGATTTCAGGATTTTTCAAAACTTGCTGCAGCAAGGCATAGACAGTCTTGGGTGGTAAAGACATGGCAGAAGCCAAGGTGGGGCAAAGCCGGTAAAGAGGAAAAGCTAAACAAGACTACCATGCCACACATTTCTGTTTTCAAAAAGCCTCGTGAAACCTGTCAAATGGGTAGTTGCTCACACGGCATGTTTTTTGCTACAATTCCTTATCGTTTTCGTTATCGTTTCATTATCGTTTTGGTCCCCTCTGCACGTTCTCATTTTCGTAGTCCATGCAAACGACTGCGGACAACAAAACACATGAGACTCAGCAAGTTGGTCCAATCCCATGGAGCTGCCAACGTTTATTCTCAATTGCAGGTATCGCTTTTGGGGGGGGCTATCGCTACATAGTGTTTTGTGCAAGTTCCTGACACCCGAGAACTCTCCTTACATAAGTAATATACCAGATCGAGTTTTGACACCTCATATCATGTATGTATACCCTGAGCTTCCAAGACTATACTTTGTTTAGCCTTTAGTTGGAGACCGTTCTTTGCCGTGACCGCCTATACTTTGCCCTTTCTCGCCCTGTTTCAGGTATCCAAGGATCATCTTGGCTCAGGTTTGAGTCAAAGAACATGATTTTTGAATGTACCAGATTGGAACTCAGGAATTTGTATGATCAATCATGGTTAACCCCAACAAGTGAATTAGAGTTGGGGTCACCAAAATGATTTGTAAAGAATCCTGTCATTTCCTGATCAGCAATGTCGTCCCTGGTCAATTGCATGGCCGGGCTTCAGCAGATCTCGATTCAGGGGACACCCGGCAGCAAAGCCATGATTATCATATGACATCATATGACTGTGGGAATGTCCTTTTTCAAATTTTACCAATGCTTGTGGCCCGTGCGTGTGCTATTCAGGATCATCTTGCTTCTAAATGGCATATGCAGGGGATCCACTAGGTTTGGCCCTTGGGACATTTCTTCTGGCAGTTGCCCCTTGTATCCCCAAATTATCCTTTGGAATTCCTCCCTTTTGAGGCCATGATGCTACAAACTATTTTGAGTCTGATGAAGAGGATTGCATTGGAGATATCGGTGCGCCCCCTCCTGCTTTTCTTGGCATTCCATGCAGCAAGATGCCACAAACGTACCATCGAGCTGATAGATAGAATTTACCATGTGATATTCACTTGCAGCTTTCCAGCTCGGGATTCATGAGGTACAAGGTTCTTGATGGGCAGGAATGTTAAAAAGTCACCATTATCCCAATTGGTTTCCCTTCCATTGTTTTTTCTGTCTCGCATGCCCGTGAGCCGTCGCAAGAGCCGCATGTCCTTGGAGCGCGTTTCTCTTCTGAAGGACGACAGCTTGATATCCACACGACCCTGTTCAAAACCAATGCCAACTGTCATGGGTATTATATTGCTTGATAGCCTTTTTCTCCACCTGCCAGGTGAGGGTTGTTAGATTTTATCAGAGTTGTTCTTCTCCTTCTCCTCCTCCTCCTCCTCCTCGTCCTCCTCCTTCTCCTCCACTCCACTCCCATGTTCACTTCCGCCTTGCCAACTCTTCGCCAAGCTCTTCGCCAACTTCCGCACGCAGTGGGCACTGCTGGACCTCAACTGCAAGGGTCTGAGCGCACTGGGCACCGCTGGACCTGAACCTGGGACCTTCCGAGCTCAGTGAGCACCGCTGCATGGGACCTTCCGAGCTCAGTGAGCACTGCTGGACCTCAACCTGGGACCTTCCGAGCTCAGTGAGCACCGCTGGACGTCAACCTGGGACCCTCCGAGCTCAGTGAGCACCGCTGGACCTCAACGGCCAGATAGAATGCCAGAAGATATGCCAGATAGAACGCCAGATAGAATGTCAGAAAGAATGCCAGAAGATATGCCAGATACAATGCCAGAAGATACGCCAGATAGAACGCCAGATAGCATGTCAGATAGAATGCCAAAAGATATGCCAGATAAAATGCCAGAAGATATGCCAGATAGAATGCCAGATAGAATGCCAGAAGGTATGCCAGAAGGTATGCCAGATAAAGTGCCAGAATGTTTGCCAGATAGAATGCCAGAAGATTTGCCAGATAGGATGCCAGATAGGATGTCAGAAGATATGCCAGAAGATATGCCAGATAGAATGCCAGAAGGAATGCCAGAACATATGCCAGAAGATATGTCAGGTAGAATGCCTATGCCAGACAGAATGCCAGATCGAATGCCAGAAGATATGTCAGATAAAGTGCCAGAATGTTTGCCAGATAGAATGCCCAAGATTTGCCAGATAGAATGCCAGATAGGATGTCAGAAGATATGCCAGATAGAATGCCAGATAGAACGCCAGAAGATATGCCAGGTAGAATGCCAGAAGATATGCCAGATAGAATGCCAGATCGAATGCCAGAAGATATGTCAGATAGAATGCCAGAAAATTTGCCAGTAACAAATCGATAAATGCCATGGTGGGGATCACACGAAGTAAAGTAATTTGTGACAATTTTCTTCTGAAAGTCTAGAAGTGAAATAAACGGTAAAAATGACATGTAGACTCTCAATTTCGGCCAGGAGTTCTTCCAGGACCAGTGCCTCCCCGAGAAGCTTGACCAAAGAAAGCAGGATTTGAAACGGGCAAAGAAGTCCAAGGCTATTCAAATCAACAGTCTGTTCCAACATATTTGGTAGTAATGAATGCGTCCCGGGCTCATCCCTAGCCATCCGCAATCGCGGCGCGCAGGTCTTTTCATTCGTTGATTTGCCTGGGGCAAAGCCCAAAGTCAATGAGACGAAGGCTTGCTGGGATTTGGGTCTCAGCAAGGAGCCAAATTTTGAATACAAAATCTATGAGATCTACTTGTAAGATTTCCGTTGACGGTGACATGGATCGAATGGTCAGTTGATCACCCTGGTATATAGGTCCAGAGGCCGACCAACTATGCATTTCTGAAGTCCTATCTGAGCACCTTTGTGGGCGATTTGCCTACAAAGTACGAAATGGAAGTCAGTGACTAAGCCTGCTACTTCTGTGTGGGTTCATGAGGCCAGCCACCACGAATTCATGATTGTCAATTCCATTAACTTGCTGCACCTTCATTAGTACGGACTCCTACTTTGGCACTTTTTTGCACTTAGGAAGCCCTTGAATGGATTTCACAGAACGAGGATATCAACGAACAATTCACGACAGTCGACCAACACCAGGCTTGATCTTGATTAGCGCATACAGCCTGTATCAAACAAGTGCATTAATCAAATGGTGGCTTTCTGTTTCATGTTGTCTGCAATCTTACCCAAACACTCGTCCTCTCCACCCGGCAAGGCCTGGGCACGGACTGAAGGTGGTCTCGTGCGGGCACTTGCAATGTATATCTGCAACCTGCATCAGCGATGCGGAAAGAGCAGGTCGGGCCAGCTGATTGGATGATAATGAGTTATTATAGCATAGTTTTATGGAAAAGACAGCGACCTTTTCCCCAATGATGTGGATTTCACTACTAGTTTTGTCACCAGGAAAGGCCATGAAAAGATGAACATGCTGAAGACCATTGTGAGAACGAAGCTACAGGACCCTTTCATGTGCTGCCGGAATTTCACAGGAAGCTGGGAACACTGTCATTTTTCAAAATGTTGGGAAAGCACAGTGACCTTGATTCATCCATAGAGTGGAACGTTTGGGCCTAGAACCTAGAAGATCTGTAGGAGATGAACTTGCTGATGGATAACGGCAAGAAACGTCCCACCAAGGGCCGCTCCACCTTCGAGGCCCCGTTTCTTATCAGAATTCTGTAGCAATAGAGCAGTTCCAAACACAGTTCCAAAGGCACACTGTTTGCAGGAGATCAAATTCACGTGCTTTATTTTTGTTTGTATAATTTAGCAACTGCCACCGATATCCGGTGTTTTATTTTTGTTTGTATAATTTAGCAACTGCCACCGATATCTGGTGTGTCATTCATAGTTGACCAACAGGTATATATTTCTCCTAGCTCTTCAGCGGATCATGTGTTAATATTACCAGATTTTCTTCCGTCTAGGTGACCAAAGGCAAAGCCGAGAAGACAAAAGTCAAGAAGACAATTAGTAAGAAGAAGAAGCAGGTATCGAAGGCCAAGGTTAATACCAGAAGCAAAGACCTGGAGAGCACCCCAAAGGTTGCAGAGGCAACCAAAACCAGTGGAGGAACATACCCTGACTTGATGGACACGATGCCAATGACAGACTCTCAGTTCCAAGGGATGTGGGACGACTCCCAGCCCCAGTCTCATGAGTTTGCGCATGGTTTGCCCGACGCTCCTGATGAGGTGTTAGCCACGCAGCGCTCAGCTACAGATGATGGGGGGGAAGGGACAAGGGAAGGAGCGGAAGAGGAGGCCAAGACTGATGATGAAATTGTGGAACCACCCCCCGTACCCCACCCCATGCCTGAAGTGAAACCAGGCGCATCAGTAGATACCATGGCGGGTGTTGATGATCACGGGAACAAGACACACAAAAAGGCTGATGAGGCGCCAGATGCCCCCGCTGACATGTCACCTGGTGCTATAGCTATTAACAGTGATGACGAACCGGCCCATGGACCAAAAGAAGTCGCATCATCCTCAACAACGAAGGGTGGACAAAAGGACCCTGTCATTTTATTCCAGCTGGTCGTTCCAAACCAAATCTATACTTTAGTCTTGTTGGACACCTTACTATTATAGTTGGAAAATAAATAGGTTCCAGACAACAGTTGCCCCTACATAGTGTGAAATACGAGGTATTTACTTAGAGAAATAGGTTGATGAAAATACAGTTTATGAATTTATGAATCCTGGCCAGGACAGACAGCCACTAGCGCCTCTTCAAGACCCACCAGATGATGAGATGCGCATGATGATTGAACAAGCCATCGAAGACATCAACAGTTGTGTAGATGGTCACGATACAAGCACGGTCTTGGGGACCAATCTTCTTGAGGCCATGGTACATGCAAACATATGGTATCGGCTTATGAGCATGATAAAGTGTTTAGCTTGCATTCCGACATGATGCTATGAGTTTCTTCGGTTTAAAAGTTTGCTTTCTAAAGTTGAATGTGTTTTCGAGCTGTACTGAACAGATAATTTTTAAAATAAAGTCATGTATGTGCGATGCTGCAGGCTCAGCGCAAATTGCGCGCGGCTCTGAAGGTGAAGTTCGGGAAGGCTGACGCCAAGGAACATGAGGAGGATTCAGATAGAGAGTACAAAGATGAAGATGAGGATGAAGAAAAGAGAAGGGGGCGAGGTCGAGGTCAAGGGCGTGGGCGTGGGAGGGGAGGTAGGGCAGGTGAAGCCAAGAGGCAGAAGAAAGAGACCACTGAACCTGCAGCCACCCCTCCACCCGAACCCAAGAGGCAGAAGAAAGAGACCACTGAACCTGCAGCCACCCCTCCACCCGAACCCAAGAGGCAGAAGAAAGAGACCCCAGAATCTGCAGCCGCCCCCCCTCCACCTGCAAAGGTTACAGAAGGTGAAACTTTGGAGACAATGGCCAAGGATGCAGAGGACAAGGTTTTAGAAGATATGGAGAATGCTAGGAATGCAAAGGTTTACAGACAGGATGATGGTGATGAAGATGAAGGCGGCGATGAGCATCAAAAGAAACCCGCGAGAAGGCAGACTGCTTGCAAAGCAACACCTAAAAAGAAGAGGAAGAAGGCAGTTACCCCCAATAAAAAGAGAGCAGCAGAGACACCGAAAAAGGGAAAGGGTGAGGCAGGAGAGGGTGAGGCTGAGGATTTGGGACCGTTGACTCCGAGAACAAAGAAAAGAAAGACAATGCATAAATTTAAGGACAGACCACTCCGAACCAAAACACATGCATGCATAGCACACATACTGCATGCGTCACATGTATATAACACATACTATTAGCTATACAAATTATTTACATGTATATATTAGATATGCTTCTCTTAGCAGGTCAAAGTTGGTTTAAAAAAATCGGGTTCCCAAAATACCCTTCTTTAACAACCCATGCAGGAACAGAACATCGCCGAGCTGATCCAGTGGCATGCCCACCTTCGCTACATGGAACTGCCGGAGGATTGGCAAAACAAGAAGTGAGAGCCTGAGATCAAAGAAGTCTCATATTTCAGCAGGTCTCTCTCGTTTCATGGCAAAATAAAACCAACATGTGAATGAATATAGGATATACAAAATAAATCAAAATCATGCATATGATGAATGATATTCGCACTATTGGGCTTCAGGACCTTCACCCTTCCACCGCCTGAAGGGCTGCCTGCAAAAGCAGACACTTCATCTGTTGCTACAAGCATCCAAGTCTTGCCGGGGCCTTATTTTTCAGAATGTTTACTAGGAGTCGGCGGTAGACGGTTGAAAGAAATATCAATTTGAATTGCCCAATAAGCTGAGATTTGGGAGAGAGTATTCCATCAGAATATGTGTGTTTCCCCGTCCCTGCTTGGTATTCCCCAAATAATTGCATAGCCCACGTCAATTAGTCATCATACTGGATCCGCTGTGCCCAGGATCGACCGTGGAAGTGGGAATTTCTACATCAGAGATGTCCCCAACAAGCGTGTGGCCCGAGTGAACTTGGCGTGCGATGAGAACCTGAAGGCCTGATGATTCGGGCCGTCCGTATAATGATTTTAGTCGTGAAATTACAGCGCACTAGAGCGCCCATGATGCTAAATAATCTAGTTCCTTGGAAAGCGGGTAGTGCCTTTTTTGAGAATCGATATTATGGCAACAGTTGGATTGGATCCCTTTTTTCACCCATCCGTCTAAAAAAAGAAATTGTATACCTGACCCTTCTCCTGTTGGAACTTTCAGGCAAATGACAAGCAGCAGGGTGTCAGCATAACGTGGAACAAAAGAGGGCTCCAGAAAGCGCCTGTACCTGAGCAAATGGTTCAAGCTGGGAGCAGGCAGGTCCCTACAAATGTCACGTACAATCGCAAGTCATAAGTATGCAAAAAATCACCCAAGCTCAACAAGAATTGATCCCGAAAAAATATATTTCTGTTCATTGGCGATCGCAGAAGCTTATTTTCGGACCCACGGAACAAGTTTAAAGTTATATTCCATCTTGTTCAATGGTCATTGGGAGATTGTGGCCTTGTTTGGCTAAGGTGGATCTGCGCAATCAAGATTGCAGCATGGGAGGACCCAGAGACTCCATATGAACCTGTTGTCTTTTGAAATGCAGTGGCCAAGTCTTGAAATCCATGGGCTGGAAAACGGCTCCCTTGCTCAGTTTTGATGACACAAATAGCTTGCACGCTTCTATTTAAATTCCATTGCAATGGCACAAGCTTTCGGATTTTCCTGTGTTGGGCCCACATGTCAAAGAGCAAGCATGGGGCAGCATATTGCCATGGCGAACTGAATCCATAGGGTTCCCTTTAGCTCGATGTGCTGCCGGATTGCCGCTGCTGAGGGAAAATATAGCTTTCGATCATGTGTCTGCCGGGCTTCCTCAGTTAATGTGCGTCAATATCCCAGTCGTGGTGGGGCATGCTGGCTTGTATGACAGCTACATCCTTATCATAATTTAACCAATGCTGGTAAGTATCATGCTCGGTGTTTGGGTGTAAATATTTGTATTGGCCGTGCATTCAGGATCCAGGTGGAAGGTGATACGGTAGTTGAAACAACTGTGCCCCGTTCTATGAGCCATGAAGAGGGGCCCTGCCAAGCAATGGATGTCATCACCTTTGAGCCTGACATCTAAAACCGCCTGCTTTATGTTATATATCGGAGCTCCGCTGGTCTTGTTTCTCGTTTGCGTTGGTAGTTTAACCTCCATAGGGGATTGCTTCAACTCACCACCTTCTGGACCTCAGGTTGCATAGCTGTGATTACATAGCTCAGCAGACAGCCATTGACAGCCCCAGTGCCCAAAGAGCCCGGTGCTCAATCCACTTATTGTGCGGGTTTTTAATTTTGTTCACGTTGACAAGGAATAATTTCAAAACATGATCTTGTCCCATTGTTGGCCGCCGGCTTCTCAGAATGTGCAGCTCTTGGACATGTTCTGCGGAAAAAATCTTTGACAAATGCATACCGTTGGGACCTCAAATTTGGAGTTCTCGTGCGTTGAGATTCTAGGCATGCGGCATGGATAATGTTCAAAAGATTGGAGCATATTTTCGTGACTCCACATTTCTTATTGAATCCCCATACATTATTCATCATTATTCTTGGTGATGACTTCCAAACATAGCTCGATCTTAGTCAATTTCACAAACCCAAGTTGGCCCTTGAAGTTCCCCCTCTGCAGGCGAGCATCACCTGAGGACGCGCTGCCCTCAAGCCAAACTCAGTGTATCTTCCATCTCCACATTGCAAAAAACTTGTGCCTTCGTTGGACCGCTTTTCCAATTGCAATGCGCGACATGTTTGAGGTTATCTTATGATGTGGAGTTACAACCCCGCAGTCACGACCTGACCTCTGTGCACCTTGTCTGGTGTGAGGAAAGGTGTACCGTATAAGAGTAAGCAGGTGAACTCTCAGAAAGTAAACTTGCGCTAGAGGAACTAGCAGCTAGGATGAAATTGACATACCACAACATGGCATAAACAGCAGAGCTCATAGATGGATCGCCAGTCGATCAAATTCAGCAATGTGGTGGGATGATGTGTAGTAGTGACTGTAACCAATGGAATCCACCTCTTGAAATATATTTGGGATACCTCATTTTTAAAAAATGGTGGGTCAGTTTGCGGAATTAAAGGTTCTGGAGGATCTAGATCATGTATGAATTGAATTTAAACATGATAATGACGATATATGGAAAATCGATATAATACCTATCACATTCGCCGGCCGCTCAGGCCTGGATGGTTTCGAGGAGTCCAATGGACATTACGGTTGGTTGAAGACGGACTGTTGCACGGTGGTCCGCCGTGTGGGACCTATGTTTGGGTGAATCGAGGGAGCAGCAAAAGAAGTGCTCTCTCACCGGACGGTGACCTGTCCGTTCCCAGTGTTGGCCTAGCGAATTTGCTACTTGTTTTCTTTCAAGAAAAACATTTTTCAGGCTGCGTTTCAATCAACACCTACTAGGTTGGATATGATCCTTTCGATTTTGGTCAATTTGCTTCCGTTCCCAACCCGGCTGAGGATCACAAGTAGGTTCGTTCTCTTGATGATCATAGCATGTGCCAGATGCTGCTACACATGCGTGGAGCAGCCGCGCTCTTCTCTGATGCCGTCATTCAGTCCGATGGAACGGCTCCAACATGCACTCAAAGGGCTTCTTCCATGGATCCAACAGAGTTTGTTTCTGGAATTTGCAAAACAAGAACATTTGACTTTGACTCGTATGTTTCCACTTGGAAGGGCCTAGAGTCTATGATCAATCAAGAGGGTGTATGCCCGAATTTGGTTTCTGCACTTCTCCTATCTTCTCATTCCTGTCTGCGCTGAGTTGGATGTGCTCTTGGGGATCGCCTACAGCGAAGCCATCTATGAATTTCGGTACAGGGTGCCAGGCTCAAGTGGGTAATGGGGGTGCATCTTAAAAGCACGTCTGTTGGAAAACCGACAGCACAGGTTTGATGCGTCCAAGTTGCTGGCTGAGACATCCGCTTCAATCTTGAACATATTGAGGCCTTTCGTCCTCGGCTTGTACCGCAAGTTCGGCAAGAAGGAACGTGCCAAGCTCCAGCGGCGATTGTTGAAGAAGAAGAACCACAAACTTGTTCGTAAATACATTGACTCCAAGGGTGTTACGCGAGTGAAACTTGTATGTGCAAATTATGTTCTTTGATGAAATTGATGTCAGTGGACTTTGATGGAAGTGGGGAAATATTCTACTATTTTAATCTTCCTGGAAAACCAAGTTCATAAACAATCTCTTCACTACCCCGGTGGCATCTCAGGCAAGGGCTGAAAACCCTAAAGGCATCTGCGATTTATCCTAAAGGATATGGACGCAAAGTGCGGGATCTCCATCTCGAGCATGTGGTTTCTCAGCAGATTTTTTTAATTTTGGAAAAGTTTCAATCAACAACCAGTGATCTCTCGAGTCTGAATATATGTTTCCTTGAATTCAGAAAGATCGGGTCCAATACTTTTGTTTGCCATCCCAGGCGAAGTATCCTGGTGACCTTCGGGGGAAAATCTATGGTGATGACCCGCAGCCTTCAGCTGCAGCACCACACATCCGAATGCTGGTCAAGAGTGCAACCCCACTTATTGCTTTTTTTTGGTTCCAGCAAGTTTGTAATTTTCCCGTTGGCTTGACTTGCCATTATTACCCAAAAACCTACATCAAGCAATCAACTCAACTTCTTTTTGCTATAGGTGGCTGCGGCATCATTACCCCACATTCTCCGACTTATCCACCCTCCTCTCCATCACCACCGCTGCCCAGGCACTTGCCCATGACCAAAATTGGCTGATGGCTGACCTGGGAGCCATCCGTGGCTTTTTGCGGGCGGAAAGGGACCGGGGAAATTTTGTTCCCGTGTTCCGAGAAGGCCTTGACTGACTAAGTCACATTTGGCCCTGATTTAATTCATGAACAAGTCAGATCACACTTTCAATAGCTTGATGTTCTCTGCATCAGGATGTTGGTGCTCATCCACACATGGGAAACACACAACAACTACTGGAATCTATGAGGCACTGTGCTTTTTTCGAACTGATGAGACCCTCAGTCTTTCCAATGTGGTTCTCATGTGTGCACAACCAACCTTTTGTGCTACTGCGGTTTCATGGCTGGGAGAAATCATAACTGGAAAGCGTCCATGTTAAAAAAATGAGAAAAAAACGTTTGGGAACACTAGGGGACCGTGACGCGACCGTGACGCATCCGTGGTACGGCTATACTTTGCCGTGGTACGGCTATACTTTGCCGTGGAACGACCATACTTTGCCGTGACGCATGCCCCCCCAAAAATAACATCAAAATTGGGTGGAATTTGAAAAAACACCAAAAAAGCAATTGAGGGCGTATCCACATGTTTTCCACGTGCCTTGGATTCCCACCCGTTGGCTCCCAGGCGGACCAGACGCTCAAATCAACAAAGTGTATCATTGAATTATTCCTTAAAATATGTATATGATATAATGTCGCTATCATCGGTATTTTTTGGACCTCTCGGTTTTGTTGGCGTCTCAGTAGTATACTACTGTGAGCCTTCATAGGTTCCCGCCATGGATCCCGAGATTGCCCGAGAAATGGAGCAAGCCAGGGCACGAAAGGACAGGGCACGTCGCAAGCTTCAGCCTGAACTTGAAGCAGTTGCAGGAGGCTGGCCCAACAATGGGCTAGTGGTCAACATGGTTTGCTTGGGGTTGATATTGTTTCAACGCAAGCTTCTGCTATAAGTTTTTGCACAGACAAGCCAGAAGTAAGAGATCACAATTCCAACTGCTGGCCACTAGCTACAAGCTGAAAGGCGTTCAGGGCTTTGGTGTGCCACAATATGCCACATCCATTAAATCCTACTGAAGGTGTAATTGCTGGTTCGCAATACATGTGTTATATTGGTTTGATGTCCTTGAACTGCCCAAGCTTCAACTTCCCTCTCTCAAAATCTCTGTCCATGTGCCAGGGAAGCCAGATCCTACTTCACCTACGACCTCTCAGGCCTCAACGGTTCCAGGGGATGATGCTGAGGCTAAAAGGTTGGCTAATGAAGGGAACAAAGCTCGACTCGCAGAGATGGAAAGAGAAGCCTACCAGAAACGCAAAGCACTTCAAAACACATGCTCTAAGTCAACTGACAAGGCAGCCGAAAAAGTGGAGAAATTGCGACAGGTAGGGTCTCAGGAAATCTTTCAAGGCCAGCCTGCTCGTACCTCAGCCAAGACAATGCCTACCTCGGCCACGACAAAACCAGCTGGAAAGGGACCAAGGAAGTTGAAGGGAAAAGGCACATGTGCCAAGAAAGGCAAGAGCAAGTGTAAGAAAGCAACAGCAAAGAAGAAGCAGCATGCAGGCAGCAAAGCAGCAAGCTTGAAAAACCCACCGAAGAAACCCCCATCAGGCTCCTGTTGTCCCCACATTAGAGGCTCCTGTTGGTGGGGCTACTTCGAAAGTGAAAGAGGAATCTACTGGTAAGGCAGTAGCAACTCCAGCAAGGTCTCAGGTGGCACCCCCGGTGACTCCCTTGCCAGCAGGTCAGGCCCTACCCAGGTCCGACACTGGAGAACTGGTGCGGGACATGCTGAACAGAGCCCCGACTCAGGAACAGATCTCCCCAACTTCAGCCCAGCTCCCGGACACACCGCAGCAGACAGAACAGACCCGCCAGAACCAGCCTGCCACGCCTTCTGAGACCAAGCCAGCACAAAAGCCAAGGGATCCAGAACTTCACCGCCGAAAGATGAAATTTTACAGAAGCCTGGAAAGCCAGGGCCTTGTTTCAACACATCGTGACTTCATGTGTGTGTGTTGTTGATTAATGTCCCACGGTTTTAAGGACTAGGGCCGGAAGTCATCAGCATCATTCATTGGACAATGGATTTACCAACATACACATGTCAATATGGATATTTGTATATATTAATTATTATTCTTCGATGCCTAGGTCCGAACTCTCCCGCCGAAGTGCGAGCTTTAGCGGAGAAAGCCAGAGCAGGCCTATAAGGGGGGTTGATGTAGAGTACACACTCCCAAAGCAATGTGATTCGAACATACCCAAATGGTGGCTAAATGTATGGGGTTCATACGCCCACCAGGAGTCAAACAAGTGACCGTGATCTTTGCTAGTTGATGGGCTGTATATCGACCAATCATATTATGGGTTCGTGCCGTTCCAAAGCCCTGGATTCTTTCTCAACCCATCTTGCCTTGACCCGGTCAGGATCGAAGAAAAACGAGAAACTTCAAGTTCTGTTTGAGGAATGGGCAGGAAGTGAACAGGATTGGAACAAATCCAATCTCATCATCCAGATGAGATCGCGAAACAAGCACAGCAAGAAGGGATGCCGCCGCTGGCTTACTCAAAGAGAGATTGCAGACAAGTACGGCTCAGCAGAGATCGCTGCTGACATAGTGAGACTCAAGCTGGAGGATCACAAATCACTGTCCGTGACCATCCAGATCTTCCTGGACGGGAAGATATGCGACAATTCCTTGTGTTTGACTACTCCGAAGAGACGGATGAAAGAGATGAAATCTTTGAAAGCCTTTTCTCGGTGGAAGATGGCTCAGACAAAGACGATGTGCCTACCAGTTCTGTCCGCGGCCGCGGCCATGCCAAAAAGAAAGATTCCCGCAAATCCAAGAAGAGGAGACGCCGATCCACCTCTTCGTCCAACAGCTCATCCACCCGCAAAAGCAGCAGCTCTGATTCCAGCAGATCTTCTCACTCTGCAAAGACTTCAAAGACCAAGGTTAAGAAACACGGCAAGAAAGCGAAAAAGGAGAAGAAGGAGAAGTACAGTCCTGATAAAAGCAGAGACCGAGAGATGACCGAAGCACAGAAGAAGAAAGCCGAAAAGGCCAAGGCAAAGGAGGAGGAAGCCCAGCGCAAAAAGGCTGAACGGGAAGAGGTAAAACGGCAGAATGATGAGAAAAAGGAGATGCAAAGAGCAGAGGAGCGCAAAGAGAAAGAAGAGAAGCGACAGATTGAAAAGGAAAAGGATCGGAAGCGATCACTGGCCAAGAAGGAGCCACTGTGATGTACCACGTTAATGGGAACCTATGGTAACCAATGGCGTTTCCTATGCACGCATACGTATTCTAGTTCAGGCAATATTCCACCCAAGTCCTCAAATTCCTTTTTGGAGGCATCATATCATAGCCCGTTTTTCCACAAATAAGTTGGCTTGCTCAAGTCCCCTCGTCCCTCGCCTCCATTGCACAGGAGATCGGCACTTTGACGCAGTGCTTGCAAGATGTCGCCAAGCGATTTGCGCAAGCCATCCATCTGTCAAAGCCTTGGATGGGACAATTCATCGATATTTTGAAAGGTTTTCAACGTTATTCTAACTCAAGTGGTTTCAGTCACCAAATGCGTGATTGATGTGCCCCAACACCAATAGATCCAAAAAACAAGGCCTAGTGACTCTAGTCTAGTGCGTGAGGGTTGCACGCACCCACCAAAAAGGTTCACTACTATCATAATTTATCATAAAAGTGAATCTATTGTCTATCATAATATGATATTCATCATTCATCATGATATAGTTTGAGTCATCAAGATACTTTTGCTTGGTCCAGGTGGTCTGTCTTTTGGATTTTTCATCTACGTGAAATCTATCAGAACCCCTTCATGTAACAATCACACCTCATGGCTGAACCCTCCAGAATTTATGGGATCAAAAGATGTTGTAAGATAATCCGCTGGCTGTGGTGTCACCCACCCCAAGCTACATCAACATCTTACAATGGTTTTTTATGCGTTATTTATTATAGGAAAAAATCCTATTTATTAAAAATCAATACGTCCTTTTCCAGCAGCCACTGGAAAACACCAGTCGCAGCCCTACCATCCACCATCGCCCATGGCCAAGGTCGCCAGCCTTGAAGAAGGCTATTGAAGAGGACCTCACGGAGGATCAGTCCAAGTTGACCAAGCACAGGACATGTTTGGAGAATCTGCTGGGAAAAGATGAGGTGGGGTACCGCGGTTGCCCGATCTAGGGGTGGTAACAACCTGAAATCAAACCAAATCGTTCGTTGAGGTTAAATTGGCTATTCAGTTTGGCGCAGATAGGAAAACAGATGATAAAACATAATAATCTTATATTCTCTAAATTGTCGTTTCCTTTTCATATTTTTCCTGTTTAGAAAGGTCTTAAACTAATTTCCATGGGGTGTCTGCCTAGGTGGACAGCATGGCATCTGCTGCATCTGCAGCCGCGGAGGCTGTGAGGATGTACAAAGTGAAGAAGAGCCGGCAAATTTGATCTGCTAACATGGCTGGAGAATCTAACGGTTTGAGATATGGGGTAAAATGAGCACGTGTGCTAGGGCTCAATGCATAGAGTGTTGCCATATCTTACCTTTCGTTTCGAAGTAGTTTGGGGTAGTCTCCAAAAGATGTTAAAACATAAAACGAAAAGTAAACTAGTGCTTTATATTTTCCAAAAGGATTTCCAAAGTGGCGGCATGAGCGTGAGCCCTGCTTTTCACATCGTGAAGTCCCTACGACAATTTCTTTGTGTGCCGTGCCAATTGCGCACATGGGATTCCAATTTACATTTTGCTATCACCGTTTGCTGGCGTGTGGGGACCATCATACTGACGCGTTTGGTTTTATCATGGTGGATCACCTATCCCTCCGACAGAAAGAACCACTCACACATATATACCATATATTGCAACCAAAAAAATCATATTGTTTGATTTGATGTTTTGTATGATGTTTGCATCGCTTCACCCCAAACGCCATCTCTCCAAACGGTGCACATTGAAAGCGTTAGAATTTCCATCTTGGGCTGGGGCAATTTAGGTTGCGTGCCAACATGGTGCACCAAGCAACATGTGAAGTGAAAACATCAAGCCGTTTGTGGGTCATTTATGGGTCTTTGGTGGGCAGATATTTCACCCCAAACAATCTGATAGCAACAATCGTTAAGGGTATATAATAATACGATACAATCCTGAAATCTTGACACTATAACTTTTATAATGTGATAAGCCATTGTTACCCTCAAAGATTGTCGCCCAACTTCAAGGATTGGGGTCATGTGCCAACCCTGCGCAGGTGATCACCGGGCCTGGGTTGCCCAAAATGAGATAGACAAGGTTGCTGCCGGAGCTCCTCAGTTCATCTGTTGGCTTGGGTATCACCCTCCATGTGTTATCCTCAAAGTAAAATATATCTGGGATATATCTGGGATATATCGGGAAATAAAATCTGGATGGATACGGTATGTGACATATAATCCCAAAAAAGTGGGGTGTCAACCTATTGTTCTTCATATGGGTTAATATTGGTTATTCCCCACCTGCCAGGTGAGGGTTGTTAGATGTTATCAGAGTTGTTCTTCTCCTTCTCCTCCTCCTCCTCCTCTTCCTCCTCCTCCTCCTCGTCCTCCTCCTTCTCCTCCACCACCTCTGCCTCCACTCCCATGTTCACTTCCGCCTTGCCAACTCTTCGCCAAGCTCTTCGCCAACTTCCGCACGCAGTGGGCACTGCTGGTCCTCAACCTGGGACCTGCCGAGTTCAGTGAGCACCGCTGGACCTCAACCTGGGACCCGCCGAGCTCAGTGAGCACCGCTGGACCTCAACCTGGGACCTGCCGAGTTCAATGAGCACCGCTGGACCTCAACCTGGGACCTTCCGAGCTCAGTGAGCACCGCTGGACCTCAACCTGGGACCCGCCGAGCTCAGTGAGCACCGCTGGACCTCAACCTGGGACCTTCCGAGCTCAGTGAGCACCGCTGGACCTCAACGGCCAGATAGAATGCCAGAAGATATGCCAGATAGAACGCCAGATAGCATGTCAGATAGAATGCCAGAAGATATGCCAGATAAAATGCTAGAAGATATGCCAGATAGAATGCCAGAAGATATGCCAGATAGATTGCCAGATGGTATGCCAGATAAAGTGCCAGAATGTTTGCCAGATAGAATGCCAGAAGATTTGCCAGATAGAATGCCAGGTAGAATGCCAGAAGATATGCCAGATCGAATGCCAGAAGATATGTCAGATAGAATGCCAGAAGATTTGCCAGTAACAAATCGATAAATGTCATGGTGGGGATCACACGAAGTATTGTAATTTTGTTCTATGGGCTTGTCACCAGATAGCAGTTATATAATATTACCCTACAGATCACCACATAGTAGTTATATGTATAATATTACCCTTCAGGGATTACGCACGACTTTGTGGAGATCTTTCCTTTGTACCCAATCATTCCCGCTCTGGGTAAAACAACACAAGGTCCAACCGACTCATGAGTATGGTAATTGACCCAGGTACTCTGGGCTATGATGTATGTCACATGCTCCCACCACATAAAAAAAAAAAAAACAGTTTTGGTCCTTTACCAGGTTTAAAGACTTATAACCTATAACCCCATTTATGAAAATTATAATCCCATTAATAGCCAATTATAACTAATAAATGGCCATAAGCGCAGAGTTTGCAAGGTTCCGTAAACTACTACATGTCACAGATATTTAACAGCCTTCGGCATTCCGCCGGCCCTCTGGCGGTTTGGCAGTACATACGGAATCTGCGCGTTTAGGAAGGGATGCTTTGATCATTTGAGGAGAGTTGGGGTATTCCTGGATGTCTGGTTTTGACTTGAAACGAGCTGGGTAGAAGGGTCAGGTATGAGCTAGGCCTGGAACTTGATTGGTCATTTGTGAGCCAGTGCGGTTGTGAGAGAGAACTGCCGTCGAAGAGGAACATTAGCCTAAGCTCTAGCTGAGCTAACGCTGTATCAGAAGAACAGGTGGGGGGAACATTAGCTTAAGCTCTAGCTGGGCTAAAGATGCATCAGAAGAACATCCAAAAACCCGCCGGCAGGCCGGCGGATTTTTCTAGGTGCGACTGCAACGCCCAATTCTTTTTATTTGTTTTGCATTTTTGACCGCACGTCCTGGAAACCTCTTTGCCGATCAAGCCTAATCCACGTCACTTGATCCGATTTGTGCTGCAGGTCAGCAGCGTCAAGCAGGCAGTAAATGCCGCCAAAGCTCATGTACAAGCGACTTGGCCGAGCGCACAGTGGGGAAGTTTTGCTCTGCCAAGGTATGCCACCAGGCTCTTCTGCCTTCCTTTTCTAGGAAGTTATATAGGGCATCATGCAAAATAGGAACCTGTGTGCCCGTAAGGCGCCCTTACACATGATGGATTGTCACAAAACAACTCAGGAATCTGGGGCAGAGAATTGTCATCCATATACCTGCAGAATGGCCAAGTATTCTGGCAAGAACGTTTCCAGAGATTTCTGGCGATTTGCTAGCGTCCCAGTTGTTACTCGGTCTTGTTTTGTCAATTGTTGTCACTGTTCGTTTTTGGGACAATGGCAAGTCTGGTGCAGCCAGTTTGTGGGCCATGCTTTGGTACGACGGCTCTTTTGCTCCACAGGACACTTGCTTGGTGCGAGCGCCTTTGAAGAGTCGTGGGGATTCCTCTGGATTCCAAATGGTAGATCTTGCAGTTGTGGATCCCATTTCCTTGGTTGCTTACTTGTGGGACGACATAGGAATCCAAGTGAGCGAAGATGAAGTGAGGCAATATTGGCGGCACCACCGCCAGCATGGTTCACGTTGGGCCACGTACTCCCAAGCCAGTGAGTTGACCATGCCATTAGGCATCTACGGTGACTCTGTGAAGGTTCGATCAACGTATCTTGGTGTGGAGAAGATGGTCGGCGTGTTTCTCAACGCACCTTTGTATCGGCCGAGGTCATGTCGATGTTCCAGGTGGCTACTCTTTAGCTGCCAAGAGGAGTTGCTATACCATCATCATACACTGGATTGTATTTTTCGATTTCTGACTTGGAGCCTGAACCACCTCTATACTGGGAAGTACCCGCTGAGAGGATTCAACGGGTCCCCTCTATCGGAGAGAGCAGCTGCGAAAGCAGGTCAGTGGGTGTGCCGTGCCCGTTGGTGCTTCCAGGTGTGTGAAATTCGAGGGGATTGGGTTTGGCATAAGCAGGTGTTTCGGTTTCAAAGCTCATGGAAAGCAGGATCCAAGCTCCCCATCTGCTTCAAATGCCGCACTTTTGCAAAGGGACCCACCCACGAATTGTATTACAACATCGAAGAGAATTCGCCTTGCTGGTCCAAAGAGTACGAAACTGTCGCGGATTTCATTGCAGAGCAATTGCCACGACCACCGTGTCACAAAGATGGTTCATATGATGTATTTTCAACCCTTTGGTTTGCCAATTCAATTGAAATTTGGATGATCATGTGTCCCAAACTCCATATTCCGATTGATCTAGCCGACTTGCTGGCTAAGGTCCTTTGGTGTTTCTCAGATTCTTTCATCAGGACATGTTGCGGTGGTGCTGCATCTTTTAGTTGCCCCAAGACTGTTGAATCAACCGCTGAATTCTTTGAATGTTTTTTTGGCGTCTGTTGCCGGTGTTTCCCAGGATGCTTCTGGCCCAAGCCTCCTACTTTGCTGACTACCAGACAGAGAGCCTGCAAGATATTTTGGATGTTGCATATAGACGCTTTCGTGCTTTTTGCAGAGAACGCAAGATCTCATGCAGCCAACCACCGTTCACTGTGAAACTAGTAGCTGGTTCTCATCTCATTTATTGGCAGCTAGTTTCTCTATTTCGCGCAGTGCCTTGTTTTCTCGCGCCTTCTTAGATGCCAATGAATCAGTAGCTTCTGCACACAGCTGAGGTACTCAAGGCCCAGGAGCAGGGCTTGATGACTGCCAAAGCCTTTTGCGGACGCGTCATCACTGAATGGCTTTCCCATGAGCTGATTTTGGCAGCAAATGGTCCCTTGAGGGGGAATGAGGAAATTCGCTTGGCTTGCGTGACAGTGATGCTCGACCCTCACGCCGGTTGCAATTAGCCATGCTGTTTTGAAATTCAAAATCCTTTTTTGCCTGGTCTATGGCCAATGCCCCAATGAGGAATGCATTGGCTCGATTCTTTGGGATCTTGGAGAGGAGTGGCCGGTACTTGATGCTCGGCCATGTCAGCCGGTCATTATGTTCCGTTCCTATTAGGTCTGGAAAGTCCGTGTGGCAACGCACAAGAAGGTTTCATGCTTTTTTGTCGATGCTCAGGACGGCCACACAAGCTTATCATCTCAATCGTGAGGGCTTGGTTTTTGCCCGTGGTCATTTGAAGCTCACTGCGATGTGTCAAAGGCGTGCTTGTATGGCCAGCCGTTTGCCTTGCGAGAATTTCCATCCATTCGGTGGGCTTGGGTTTTCCACTGAGATATTTGGCAGGCTTGAAAAACACTTCTTTATTATACGTCCGAAACTCCATGCCCTGTGCTTACTTTTGCTGGGTTGTTTTTGCACGTTTGCTAATTTCTTCCATCCATGCACTTCTATGTCAAACCAAGCATGGATTCAGGTACTGGGTCACCTTCTGAAACAAATCCGAGAAACCAGCACCTTGGATAAAAAGTGCTGGCGTTATTGTCCAGAAAAAGTTTTGGATGTCCGAGTCGCCTGGCAACCATGTTCTGAACACCCTTTACGGAACCTTGCAAACTAGTTGCTTCTCAGGAACTAACATTCGCCATGAACACTGTTTTCAAGATGAAGATTCGATGCAATGGTTGAAGCGAACTTCGGCCCAATTTTGATTCCAGATGATTCCAGACACTAGCTGCCCTTGTTTGCCTCCTGTTAACGAAATCCCCCTTTAAGACATCTCAGACCCGTGCTTCTATTCAGGAGCTGCTTTGCGGGGCCATCAATCGAAGGCCAAGCAACGGAAATGGTGCCTTCAACTAGGCTCGCTGAGGCCAGTTTACACCATGGGTTGCGGGTGGCAAAACATGGGCAGTTGTGAAGAAATGCAAACATTTGTTTGACATGACTTGTTTCTCGTCGGGTGCTGTTGCTTGGGTTGTTCTCAGGCTGCTAAGCATGAAATGGCGTGTCAGGTCGCCTCTTTTCAGCAATTAAAAAAATCATGCCCATGATCATTCAAGCATGATTGGGTCAGAACCTATCATCTAGAACCAACTTGACATATTTGATTTGAACCATGGGCGTGTTGAGCCTGAGGCTGAATCAATCTTCAAGATCCCGCGAATGATTGGCAGCGGGCAACGCAATGGAAAAAAATGTGTCAAACCAACAAAATACCAACACAGGGGACCAGTGGCCGTGACACGCCCGTGACCCGCGTGACCAGGATTAGCTGTGCAAAGTATATCCTTTGTTGGGTCGGGGTGGCAAAGTTTCGCCTTTGGACCCCTGGGGTATATATATATATATATATTATTATATATTATAAATTGCACAAAAGTATTGACCCCCAAACCAAGTCAGCAGCAGCGGACCTTTTGTCTTGAGCCAAAATGGTTACCGTATGTAACATGCTAAGACTATGCACAACTGCAGATACAAACACCCCTCCTAAGCTAGTTGGTTTTGCCAACGACGCTTCTTCTCAGGTGTTAGTCTTAGCAGCAACCGACACACCTTCCCGAACGTTTTGTCCGAGGGTTGTCAGGTGTCGCTGACAGACTTCTTGTCCCACAGGCTTTGTGCATAGGTCCGCAAGGTTGTCGTTTGTGTGGACCTTGCGGAGTTCGATCTCACGTTGATGCAGCTGTTGCTGCACCCACAAGTACCGAGTCTGAATGTGGCGCGTCTTGCCACTCAATCCTCGTCGATTGCACATTCCACGTGCTGCCGAGGAGTCTGAGAACACCGTGCAGGTCAATGGTATTCTCCATTCATTGTAGAGAGCCCGCATCCCCAGCACGCACGCTGACGCCTTGACGATGGCGTAGAACTCGCTCTCGCCACTGCTCAATGCAATGGTACTCTGAGCAGTACTACTTGCTTTCAAGCAATGACCTCCCGCCATCACCACCAGCCCGGACGTGCTCTTGCGGGTAAAAAGGCACCCCGCATGGTCGCTGTCCTTGTATTCAAGGTGTCGTACATCTCTTGAGGCTTGAAGGTCTGCACCACTCTTGGTGCTCCTTTCAGATACCTTCCTAACCTCTTCAGCTTCGACCAACTGTGCTCAGTTGGCTTGGCCATGAAACGCGCTAGCGTTTTCACACTTTCACAGATGTCAGCTCGATCCTGTGACAAGTACGCGCATCGCATCACAATCGATCTGTAGGCACTTTGTTGCTCTGGTGGCAGCATTGGCAAGTCCAATGCCTCCAGCACCTCTTTCGAGGTCATCTTCTCCGACGGTGTAGACACCGGCTTAGAGTTTTCCAGCCCCAGCTGCTTGACCACTTGCGCACAATGGCGCGGGTCAGGCTCATACTGCAGCTCGCCGGTCTGCTTGTTGTATTCCAGGATCCTGTTGAGCACTGTCATCACAGACCCATCGTTGGGGTCTGGACCGATACACCCGTCCACACGATACTCGAATCGCTTGGCGAGAACTCCTTCGATGAACTTCTGGCCCTCATCATCAGCCAGAACCACGAAGTCGTCCCCGTGGCATAGGAACCTGGAATCGGTGGGTTCGTGGTAGAACAACGCGGGCCATGCCACGCCCGCTTCCACTCCATGCTCCTTGAGCAACTCCGTGTATGTTTCCTGCCATATGCTCGAAGCGTCTTGTGTTCCGTACATGGTTCTGAGAAGTCTTGCACACTTCCCTTCCTTTTCTCTCAGGAGGGAGATTGGTGAACACTGGACGGCGCGAAGCACCGTAGAAATGCGCCCGAGATATGTCCAGGATGCGCATCTTGAGTGCCCCTCCTCGAGCACTGCGCTTCTTGGATACCATCAGGCTGCAAAGCACCTTCAGTGCCTCCAGCGGTGGCATTGCACTGTACAGATCGTGGTCTGGAAGTGCTTGCCCCTTTCGCTTGATCTCGCGTACCACCAGACGCGACCTGTAGTTGCTATTGCCTTTGTCTCTGTCCACCCACTTCAAGGTGATGGGTGGTGCTCCTGTGGCATCCCAACACTCTTGGATGTCTGCCTCTTCGTAGATCTTCTGCTTCTCCACCCAGCCTAGCTCCTCTTCGCGGGCCTTCTTGACCTTCTGAGGATCTAGCTGCATTCCGGTGACACTGTCGTAGATCTCCTCTTGGCTGTCGTCGTGATAGTCCCACATCTCTTCAGTGGGCTCGTTGCTTGCACCATCCGGACATGGTCCGGCCACCAGCTCGTTGAGAGCGGACAGCTCTCCCATGTCGCGAAGTTCTTGTCTTATTCCCTTCAGGATTGCATTCACCAACCGAGGGGGATAAACTTGAGCATGTCTTGCCCTGCCGTTTATCAAGTGGACGTGGCGATGAGTTCCATCGCAGTTCCCTTCGATTGCTTCAGCCAACCTCTTGGAGTTAGTCATCCAATTGGTCTCTTTCCTGACGAAGCCGACGCCTTGACCGTCCTCCGCTTTCATGTGCCATTTGCACATTGGTGCCGTCACGGTGTAGACGCCAGGTAATTCTTGGATCCTCTTGATATCCTCCTCTTGCCAGCTCTGGCTTGGCTTAGGATGTTCGTGGAGGAAGAACCTTCCGCTTTGATGCTGCTCCATATAAGCATCAGTTGCGACCTTCAGATGCTTCCGCCCTTCGGCCAAAATGGCCTGGTTTTCGGCCTCCGATCTCTTGTTCTTGCTCAGATTCTGCAGCGGACTGAACGGTCCGCAGGGAGGTGAGCCGATGAGAACCAGTGGCTTCTCATCCCTGAGCAACCTCCTCAGGACTTTCTGGTCTTGCTCAGTTGACAAGTCCCAGTACTCACCCTTGTCGTTCTTGGCCAACGACAAGTCAATGGCAAACCCAGGCCTTAGGCCAAACGCGTTTGCTCGTGAAACAAATCGTTCTGGATTGTAGATTTCTGCCACATCACTTTTGCGAATTCCCATCGAGCGTAGCAGCTGCCCGATCTCGAGGATTTCCTTCTTGGACTCCAGTCCTGGAAACATGTTTGCTTCCAGCAGTGCCGAGATGTCCTCGGCTGCAGCCTTCGAACTCGACGAAGATGCGCCTCCAGAGGGGCTAGAGTTGCTTTCGACCTTCACTGCCTTTTCCTCAGCGGACATCTTAATGTCCGTAACTGGGCGTTTAACGCCTCTGGATTCCTCAGGTTTTGCCTTCTTCAAGATGCTCTTGGGCTCCCCTCCTTCGGCCTGTCTCTTGGCCTGAGCCGGCTGAACCAAGGGTTCAACTCGCTCTGGAGCAGGTCTCCCAACTGCATCTGGGCCGTGCACCTCCTGTTCCACATCTGGACCATCTTCCAAGGCTACATGTTCTCCGCCTTCTGCTGGAACAACTGCCTCGCTCTTGCGCTTCCGAGCCTTCTCGACTCGAAGCTTGCCTTCTTCCGTCTGCAGCAGTCTCTGTTGCACTGCCGTTCTGCACTCTGAATTGTGCGACCTTGCGGGCAATCCCGTCTGGATCGCTATGCATCCAGGACACCCAACGGTGTACTGGCCCTCTACGTCCTTCTTCGTGACGTAGAGGTTCCTGGGACCACCGTCCCTCAGTGCCGGCTCTGGCGTGAGCCGTCCTTCCGCTTCTGGAAGTGCGATCCTCACAGGCAGTGAGTCCACATCTTCCGCCATTCTCGGCCTCAAGTTCCAGGGAGTACCCCGAAGCTTGTCAAAGTCCTCCATGTCCCACCTTTGTTCGATGGGGACTCTCTTGATGCTGCCTCCCTTCCAGACACCATCCACGGTCATGATCAGCACATCACCGTTGCGCCCATGTGTTCCGACATAGCGCCCCAGCTTCAGCTGCGGCTCCATGTCGCCCTGTCCAGCGACATAGCTCTTCAAGGGCCGGAAGTAGACCTTCTCCCCGAAGCTCACCATGGGCCGCTTCCATCTCTTGCCTTTGAGCCTCTCATAGGCAGTTCGACCATCTTGGCCGACTCTGTAACGCGACATCAGGAAGTTCCCGTGCCTTGCCACCCAACTCCAAATTGGGTGTGTGTCATTGATCTCGGCCTTGGTTTTCTCCAAGAACGCGCTCTTCATGGCGCGGCACTGTCTCTTGCTCTCTTTGACAGCTGCCTCAGCCAACCCATTTGATCGGCTGTCTCCAGTCTTGCTCTCTTCCAGCAGCACTTCGACACTCGATGCTGCCTGAACAGCCTCCTTGAGAGACTTCACAGCGGGCTCATTGTCGCTCCTCAAAGTCACCCGCTTGTATCCACACTCGCTCAGGATCCCCACGACGAAGTTGACAGCAAAAGCATCTGCCCCCTTCGCAGGAACCGCACTTGACCAACTCATGCCTGAGCAGTCATCCTTCACTTGCAGATGGGGAAGTCCCTCATCTTGCTTCCCGAAGAAGTAATAGTCGATGCCCAAGGTGGGCAATGCCTTCTCCTCATGGGCCATTGCTGGATGTTTCTCCAGCATCCCTCTGGCTCGCACACAGTGACCACACCAGCTGCGGTGCACTGAGTGCCCTATCATCTCGTGTTCTTCGATCTCCTCGGCAGTGGGACTTGTTGGAGCCCTCAACGCCTTCGGCTTCAGCCCCTCAACAGCCTCACCACCATCGCCGGAGATCTCCATCTCTTCTCCTTGCTCGCCCGGACTTACGGCTTCTGCGCCTGCCGGCTGAAACCTTCATCAACCGCTCCAAGGTCTCGACCGACGTGGTCAAAACCTTTATCCTTAGCCGTGCCATTCAGCCAAAGATCGAAAACGTAGATTCCCTTGTGCTCGTAGAGCTCCGTGAGGTCGTCAGCCTCCTCAGGATGTGCCTCAACGAGCTTCTTGAATGCTGCCCTCATGCCATTCGCGATCTTGCCCGACTTGGGCAGGATCCAGCCTTTGTCGCCTTCCAGCACCACCATGTTCTTCTTTGCCACTGCGGTGCCGCTGGCCAACATCCTGTGGACGCCGACCAGCCTTCCATCCACACTCCTTCCAAACCCATTGTTGTTGAGACCCTTGACGACAACTCCACCTTCGTCTTCTAGGATCTCACCTGAAGCAGTCTTGTAGGATCTCGGCATTGACTTCGAGTCTCCTTTCACTAAGCCCTGCTCCTCCAAAGTCCTTGGCACAGCCGTGATGGCTGCCCCGGTGTCGAAGTTCACCACCAGCTTGGTCCAACCGTCACTGGTAGTGAAACTGTTCACATCCTCTTCAAACGAATTGATCTCTTGCTTCTTGCCGGTCAGCTTCTCAACCTCAGTGTTGCGGCTTTCGATGAAGTGGATCTCCCTGTCAAGCTCCGAATGTCCCATTCTGCATTTCGCTCCCCTGTGGCAGTAGGAGCGCCGAAAGTCAGCGCACATCCTTCCGCTCTTGGGATGTTGCAGCTAGAACTCATTGTCGGGGTCCACCTTATAGGCCTTCGCCTTCCTCATCTTCGCAGCCTTGACTCTTTTAGCTCTTTGCTCCTTCTGCTCCTTGGTCATGACTCGTCGCCTCATCTTGAACAAGTTGGTGCGCTTCTTCCTCATGACCTTCATCTCATCTTCCTTTGTCTCAGTGTTGAACTTCGAGACCTCGTCTTGGGTCAGCTTTCGATATGATCGCGCAGATTTCACAAAGGTGCCTGCGTCCTTCCTCTTCAGCTGACCTCTTCTGACCGGACGGGCATTTCCTCTCAAGACCCTGATTCCTCCGTCTTCCGTTTCGACAACAGCCTCTGTTTCTATTCCTCCAAGCGTCTCGTCATGATACTCTTCATCCTTCACCTTCTTGGTGTCGAACTCACGATGCCAGGCTTCATCCTGACGAAGACGTTCTGCAGCACGTTCCGGTGCTCCAGATCGACGGTGCAAGGTGGCTTTGCGGCGTTTCTTCTCTTCGGACCAGGCCTTGGAGTGTGTGACACCCGCCTTGCGAGCGGCGTAGTACCGCGCATCGTGCCAGCTCTGATCATTCGCAGTCTCCGCCGTCAACTTAAATCCACCTTCCTTGCTCTTGAGCTCCTTGCTCTTCGGTCGTTGTCCCTGATGGTCTCCTTCAGGATGCTCTTGCGCTCGTCGATCTCCTTGATGCGTGTCTCCAACACCTTCATCTCGTCTTCATCCTCACAGTTCTCAAGCTCTTGGATCTTCTCTCTCTTCTCGGCATCCAAGTTGGCCACTTCGAGCATCTCAACCGTCCGATGCATCACCTGACTCGAAGCTGATCCGATGGGTCGAGATGGAACTGCAGCCTCGGCCGATCCACTGGATCGACTCGGGCCGTCCACCTCCAGGGTCGGTCGTTGACCAAAGGTCCGACTCACCCTTCCCACCAGATGCTCCGACAGCTTCTCGAAGTAGCTGACCCTCATCTCTTCTCTGGATGCCTCAAGCTGCTTGAGAGTGCTGGCGTTCTCATCTCGACTTGTCCCCAAGGGATCGTGCACCTGCCTCAACTCATCCTTCCTGTCCTCGTCCAAGCTGTGGAAAGCACCCTGCGTGATGCCTTTGAACAAGCAGATGGTCTTGTCCACCAGGTAGTGAAAGCTTTCAGGACGAGTGATCTTGAGCAGGTTTCGAATTTGACTCTTGGACGAACCCGCCGACGTCGCATCTTCAACCAACTTCCTGCGACGATTGCTGCAGACTCCACACTCATGAATGAAGTGACGTTCATTGGGATCCATCTGGCACCTCAGGTGCAGGCAGCAGTCACAAGGCTCGGAGCACGGCACTTCCTCCGACTTCACCATCACATAGCGCTCAGGTTCCACCCGAACATTCACATAGGTGCTGCTCGAAGTTCCCGTCGGTTCTTCAATCTCCTCAGCCTTGATCTCTTCATCTTCACTCCATTCTTCAAGTCCGGCGATGCTCAAGTAGCCGGTTTCTGCAGTCTCAGCTTCCGGCTCGGCCTCCTCCAAGTTGCTCACTCTGCCACCCTTTCCACTTTTCTTTGACGATCCTTTGGACTTCGGTTGCTGGTTCTTGTTGGCAGCTCCACCGCCGGCAGACCAGCAGTCCTTCCTCAGGTGGCCTACCTTTCCGCAGTTGTTGCAGGTTCGGGTTTCCTTGGACCCGTCGCCAGGCCCTTTTCCCTTTGCTGCACCTCCTTTGCCTTTGCCCTTGGAGGAGCCCTTCTTACCGTCACCTTTGCCGCCCTTCTTGCCCTTGCCTTTGGGACCCTTGCCAAATGCCCCGATGTCCATGGGTGCCGCACCTCCGGGATCCACCACCTTCATGCGGCTCCCCAGGCGAGATTCCAGAAACAGGACGACTTCGCCCCTGACATCATCGTAAGAAGCGTATCGCGACCTGTTCATCTGTAGGTGCTTTTCCAACTCCACCGGGCATAAGTGCTCGATCACCGATATCTTTATCTCATCATCCAAGATGTGCCTGGTGCCATCACTGCGTTTCCTCGCCTCGTATAACCTCAGCTGTTCTTCCCAGGCTTCCAAGGCGGACGACAAGTCTTCGATCTTGGTGATCTTCGTGGGCGTCAAGATGTGGCGCAACAGCGCACGACGTCTGCCTCCTGTCGTGGGATCGAACCTCTTGATCAGCTTTCTCCAGGCTTCACATCCGTTGTTCCGACCAGCTGAACGAACGATCGTGAACGACTCTTTCTCACAGAGGCTTTGCAGGACTGCGTAGAACTGGGTGTTCATGCCTTCGACGTTCTCGATGGTCCTGTCGGTCGGGTTGACTGGGCCAAAGCTTGCAAGCAGATCTGCATTCGTGATCTCGCTGTCCTCATTCTCCGCCAGGCCATCACCGACTCGAACTCAGGGTAGACAGAAGCGATGAACGACTCCAGCTTCGTCCTCCAGTAAAGGAAGCTCTCCTCCTTTCCGTCGAACTTCTCGGGCTTTGCCAAGCCCTTCGTGTCGAAGAGGGTCACGTTCCTCTCCTCCTTCTGCCTTAACCCGTCGATGAGGTCCTTTTGGCTCTGGGCCATGACTTGGAAGGCTTGTCCAACCACTGCTTGCAGACTTCCAGGTCCAGGGTTCTGAACTTGCTGTGTCAGCTGTTCTACTTGGGCTCTGAGTTGCTGTTCTCTTTGCTGTGCTTCCGTGCCGACTTGCACCAGCTGTTCAACCTGGGCTCTCAACTGGGCCTCACGTTGTTGACCTCCATTGACTGCCTGTCTCAACTCCAGCACGGTGTTGATGAGCTCCTGCGCATTCATCTGAGGCGCTGTTCCTGCAGGTTGCTGGGCCATTGCGTCCTAAGTCGACGCAAGAGGTTTGGATTCACGTGGTGGTTCAAGTGGTGTCCCAGGTACGCGAAGTACCTCTGTTGCTTCCTCACTCTCCGAAGCTTCCGGACCAGCCTTTCCCACCTGCTCGGAATCCTTCTCCGCCTCCTTTGGATCCACCCCAGGGTCCGGCCGATCGAAACGATCGACACGACCCCGATCAGGAGTGGAATCCAAGTGAGCTCGACCGCGACCACCAAACGAATCACTAGATCGCCAAGCAGCTCCGCTACCATGCACAAAAGTATTGACCCCCAAACCAAGTCAGCAGCAGCGGACCTTTTGTCTTGAGCCAAAATGGTTACCGTATGTAACATGCTAAGACTATGCACAACTGCAGATACAAACATAAATAATATATGTGTATATATATATATATATGAGCATCGTTATCGTTTTTTTTTCCTCTTATCGTTTTCTGGGCCGGCAACGTATTGGCAGTGTTAAAGTGCAAGCCAAGCTAAAATGCAATGCGCGGGGTTATTATACTACCCCATATCTTACTGACAACATTTTCCAGAGCTGATCCTAGAGCCGAGAGAAGAAAGGTAAGCCTTTTCCAAACGCAACTGCCAAGTGCAAATCCCAAGTCCCAGCCGCTTACTGCCACAAGCGATTGGTTTTGTATACCCTGGCATCAAAGACACTCACTTACCGCCACAAGCGATAGATTTTTTACCGCCACAAGCGATTGAAAACGGAAAAGCGATCTTACCGCCACAAGCCATTAGGCCTTCAAATGCTGCACCTGCCACGCAAAAACAGCAGTCACCTGCGGCAGTAAAAAAAACATCACTTGCGGCAGTAAAAATTAAAGGTTTTTACTGCCACAAGCGATTGGCACATCTTACCGCCACAAGCGAACCATCAGCCGATCGTTGAGTAGTGCTGGCGCACAGCCTAAGCGAGTAATGGATTCAAAACATAGTGCTGCAAGACTGAAAGGAGAGAAGAGAAGAGAAGAGAAGAGAAGAGAAGAGAAGAGGATCTGGAAACATCCCTGGCCTCTGAAAGCGTTCTGAAGTGGCCCCTTACATGAAGACGCTTCAGATGTTGTAGGCGCAACGCCGCATGCGGTGCAAACATTTACCACAAGACAATGCAAATGTGTCCATTACCTACGCCAAAAAAAAAACACAAAAAGTATCTGTCTCAAAAATCGAATCGAAGAGAGAGAGAGAGAGAGAGAGTCGGTATCAGCAAGACTCAGCAGAGGAACCTCAAAGCGAACTTATATACCTTCTTGGATTGTTCACACTTCATGACTGCCTGGCTTCACCCAATTCAAATCTTCCACCCAGACGTATAGCGATCAACCAAAAAACCAAGCCTTTCTGCAAATCTTCATCGTCCTGGCCACTGTGCATGTTCGACTCTGCACCATGACGTCAGTCCTCCACGGGTTCCAACGAAAGAGCCAAGGCTTTCTGCAAATCTTCGTCGTCCTTGCCAGTTTGCATGTTTGACTCTGCGCAATAGTCTCCAGAGCTGCCCACAAAAACTTCTGTCTTACTAAAACATGCCAAATGAAGCGCCAAGCTATGCATTTTGAAGTTGCAGAGTGCTTTCATGCTGGTGGGTCATTGAGCAGTGATGGGGCGGGCACGACCCAGGCAGATAGTGGATTCATCAAAGGATTTGGATTTGTTCCTTTGCACATTTACTGAAATTGTTTCAAGGCTGGGAGGAGATCAGAGGAGAGCAGAGGAGAGGAGAAGAAAAGAGAGTGGAAGGGAGGAAATATAGGTCCGGAAACATCTCTGACCTCTGGACGCGTTCTGAAGTGACAAAAGCTTACGGAATCAAGAAACAGATATGCCCATTCTCTACACAGAGTATCCATGTCAAAACCAAAGAGGGAGAGAGAGAGAGAGATAGACAATCTGTATTGGCAAGATTCAGCAGAAGAACGTCTATATATTAATATGCAAATATGATTGCAACCGGGTCTTTTCCAAACAGGGACCGGGTCTTACTGCCAGTTCCCTGAAGCTGGTTTCCTGCTCAAAACTTTGGGTGGTCACCCTTGCAGCCATGGGTGTCTGGAGGGAGATCTCCGAAGATGAATCATCCGATGAATTGGTGGAGGATGGGATTGTGTTCTAAGATGGGGTTGTGTTTCTAACCCATCCCCGATATCAATAGTTTGCTCACCTGGTCACAGGAGCTTTCCAAAGACCAGACGGCCTATATCCATTGTGAAGATCTATTTGTGCTCACTTCAGGTTTCTTGGCTAAAAGGTTTATCTCAGCATTAATTTGTTCAGAACCTTTTATCGAAACCTTTAAGATCCTGTATCTTAGGCTTTGACCAATGGCTTCATGACTGGAAGGGTGAGTTGGGATACATGTCCGATTGCGTCTTGGTAAAAACATTGCACCCAGCTTCAAAATGCACAATGTGGCGATCAGTCTCTATCTATCACGTAATGATACATCTTTCTGGCCCAAGGCAGTGGATTGGATACCCCTCTCATGGCTTTAAGGGCCCTCCTGGCACAAGGTGGCAAGGCAGATCGCCTGAAATATGTGAAGCTTGGTTTCTATCAATTTCTATCGTGTTATGATTGTGATACTCTGGTTTTGCCATTCCTTACCCAAATCACCCCAAACCCCTAGTGATCTAGCCTCAGGAGCAACTCTGAGAAGAACAAGGAGGCCAAGCGTTTTTTGGGATTGAATCATCCAAGACCGCTGAAGCAGCTTATCTCAACTGTTATTTCTCTTCACACCATGCAATGAGATGGAACACCATTTGATCATCTTCCCATTTGTTCCAGCGTGTTGCCACTACTAAAGGTCCCATGATGATATCTTTGCTGTCAAAGCAGCTGACTTCCGGGGGGAGGCAGGGCCAACCAAGAATGAACATGAGCTGACCAATTTATGTTCACCAACATGAATGATAATAAAATTTGGAACATCCCTCATATCATCTAGCTTCCCGGCTAGGTGACAGTATACTGCTGCGGCTTTCCCTGTACGCCTTACAGCCGCTTGCATTCTGGATCTTCTTTACTCAAAGATCCTGCTGCGCGGCCTCTTTTCCAATCCATTCGCAACATGAAGGCCGTAGCGGCTCCAGTTTCTCAACGCCAGCAAGTGATCATGACCGGATGATGATCAAAGCGCAGCAGTTATTTAGGCTGACTCGTTAGATAGGGCGTGCGCCCAAATGACAACAACTAAGGTTTGCTTATTGAAGAACGTGAAGGGGTTTGAACAGGTCATGGACGTGATTTTGCCAGTCATGAAGAAGAACTTGCCTGAGCATCTTGGTGAAACAAATGCCCAGCTAATTTGAATTTGGTGAAACATAATGTCAACTCAGCATTGGTACACACATGTGCACTGTATGCTGTTCCACCCAAGCCAAATTGCTTGGCGGGCCCCACCCAAGGTATGACATCATCGTGCTGGATGTGAATGCGTACCTTTGACTTACCTATCAAACGGTTGACATAGATTAGCTTGGACAATGTATTCAGAACAATTTATCAAAACAGAAATATCAGACATATCATAGATTTACTTTCAATTATCAAAACATTGGTGGATTGAAATAGGTTAGCTTGGACTGATATTAGCCTTGATGTTTTTGATGGCTACTTCAATTTCATATTATGTCATCCCACCATTATCCAGTATCTAAGGACCGAGTTTGGGGCTCCGATGAATCGCCCACGATTCTATCTGCTGTTGGTGCGGCGGGACTTGATGCAAGCGGATGCCAAAGCTGATTTTCCCAGTTTTGTAAATGGTATGCTTGAGAAAATGAAGCACTATACGGAGTTTGATTGGATACTTAGCTCAACATGGTGAGTCAAGAAAGTGCACAAATATTTGACTGGTCTTGATTGATTCAATGGAATGTTAAAAAAATATTGTCTATCTTACTTAGGACAGATCTTCTCATGCCTCGGGACCATTGGGCTGTGCACCAACATGTTGCCCAAAGAGAAAGCGTCAAGAGATTGAAGGCCTCTTTGAAGAAAAAGTTTCTTGTCATCAATGAAATTCCATGAGTGCGTTCAATCAAGTGACAACATTTTACCTAATCAGTGATAGATGAGCTGAGGCCGAAGAAAGGTGTCCTCAAATGGAAGGAGAATCACAAGAAATGGGCTGTGAAGCACAAGGCCTTCAACATATGATGATTCACTATGACTAACCATTGCCCAAATCCAAACAAGTTACTACCCAAATCCCTGAACACGGAACCAGGTGAGGCGTTCGGCTGGCTACTTAAAGAAACAGTTCCCAGAGGGCGCCAAGCAAATCTACAACCTGCGAGAAGCTGATGCTGCTTGGCCAATCTTGGCAATGTAATCAACTAACTGTCGCCCTTTAGTTCACAAAACCAAGTAACAACTTTTTTAATCTAAGGCTTTGGACAAGGTGCTGAAGTTCTATCATGGCAACGTTCGAGCTGCCAATGTTTCCCAAAGCATTGGCCGCATGAGTTTGGTACTGGATAAGCCCTTCGAACCCATGATGTGCTTGACGTCAATTTCTCAGAACTTATGTCAAGTTGAAACCAGAATATGACTTAAACGCATGAGTCATGTCTATGCCCGCTCTAGGCCACAGGCATCGATCTTCATGCCTACGCAGCAGCGGTTCCTCACAGGCCAGGCCGATGGTGAAACCCAGGCTTCTCAGACTTTAAGTCCTGCGCAGCTCAGGCATGGAGGCGCTCTTGATGCAGGGGGTGCCGCTGGATGAGATCAAGATATCAAGCTTCAGCAACAGAGTGCCCTGTCACAAATTAAACAAACCGTTTATGCGGGATCAATGAAAGGTTGAGCGCGAGATAGTATACCAAAACTAAACTCTAACTAGTGGAATGATTTGGATACTAACTAAGGAGATGATGAAGTTGGCCGGCAATGGAATGTCTATGCGCTGCCTTTTTGCAGTGCTGATTGCTGGTTTAATGGCTTTGCACCAGGGAAAAACCCGCAGGTACTTGGTGACCTCCAAGAAAAAATAGGGATCTACCAGCCAAAGGCCTTGAGATCCAATTTTAAGGAAAAGGGGGGATGCTCGACAGCTCGACCAATCTATCGTCGAGGAAAAATGGATGTGTTGATTGGCAAATTCAAATTCAATGCTTTGTTAATCGGTTAGCATGGCAATGGGCTACTCTCGCCCAATCAATGGCTCCAAGTGATCAGTAACGCATAATTCTTATCAAGTTTGCAGCATGAATGGGTTACCTTGATTTTAAGCTTCAAGTGCACTAAAAATCAGGATGTGATATGTTGCCCCTTACTTGAAACCAGAAGCAAATTCGGCCATGATAACCATTTTCCAATAATGATAACCATTCTCCACCTCTAACCATTTCCCCCATTTTTCAGGTTAGTAAACCACATCAAAGCACCCAACAAAGTACATATGCCAGTCCTCGGCCGATGGGATGACGATGCCGATGATTTCCAAGCTCAGCCTGTTGTTCAGAAGCGCGCTGGGGTATGGCGCTACGAGGATGAGTCTTCAGAAGGAAATCCCAATGCTTCGTCGGGTTCAGAGTACCTAGGTTGATGTGTTTCGTAATCAATTGTTAAGAAAATTCATTTACTCCTAAAGGGCCCCATGATGATATATTAGATTCAATCACCAACATTATGTTTTACCAAAGATTGGTATTGGTATTCTTTAGCGGAAATATAAAACCCATCTCCAGCCAACACTGTTTTCATTTTGCCATCTAAGGGATGATGATGAATCAGCAGATGATACATCGGGTGCTGGGGCTTCCTATGAGGTGAACCTGATGCTGGCAAATTTGGAAGCCTTGACTGGCGGAGAGGGGGATGCCTCCTGCTTTGCTGAGAACGGGGCAAACCCTGAACGGATCAAGAAACTGCTAGCTGAACCCCAATGTCAATGTCAATGCAGGATGCCTAGCGCTCTATTGGTCAAAGCTTGTAGACTGTTTTGGAGTTTACCCAAATCTGCTCAAGACGCCCTACTATGGTCCCTGCAATGCGGCAGCGGTCGCAAGAGCGTTTGGTCGATCGAAGGATGGGGTAGTTGAAATATTGTTGAAGTGTTTGATATGTTTCGAAATTACAATTATCCCCTGCAAATAGAAGCCAACAACAATGCCATATATCATGTGATAAGCTATGACCTGAAACATTTCTTGCTTAGGCTTGCCATCATCATCATAATCATAATTATCATCATCAGATGATATGATAATGGTAATTAATTCTTATAAAATATAAGTCGAACCTCTGAACCTTTGTCTGCCTGCTCTGCGCCCAGGACATCAGCTATGCCGGGAATCGTGGCTCAGATTTTTGGGCATTGGGAAGCAGCGGCTTTTACGGACCAAGCGTAGCTTTCGGGGAGAAGATCAAAGAAACATCAACCAGGGACCCTTGATTTTAACTACTTATTAAAAAAATGTTTTTCTAGTTGGTTTTTATGTCGATACTTCTCCCTAAAGTATGGTTTACTGGATGACCTGTTATGGTGTAAACCAAAGGTTCTGATAATCTATGATGATACTTTGCTTGGAAAACACATGTCAGGAGCTACAGCGCATCCAGCAGTGCAAACAGCTTCTGTAATGAGTTTCTTCATGCACCTTTACTGGACGGCTGCTGAAAGCATGCCGACTCGGTTTCCCTGCTAAAAATCATCTGAATTTTCTACTTTTACTTCTAAGCATTCTTGTTGCAATACAGGAGATGAAAGACTTAGGCGCCCCTTCAAAGTACATTGTTTATTTCCATCCGTTTTAGATACCTAAGGTTTGAATCGGCAGAGACTTCCACAAATACCACATCGGATGCTGGCCTCCGCGAAGAACTTCTGAGGAAGTTAGTTGACAGACAGCTCCTGAGACCGACCCGTGAAATCCTACTGGAAAGTGATATCTCATCACTGCCGATCAGGGAGCTCCCCCCAGGGAATACATCATCATTGTTTTTGATGTATTTAGCGTTCATGCGGAGCTCTTCCAATGAGGGATCGCCAGCATCCAAATCAACTTTTTTTGCTGTAGCAAAGACCTGGAGGCCCTGCTTGAGATTTAGACGAAAATCAGATCACGCTATGTGTTTTGAGTGCAGTAACCTCAAAAACCAGATTCAGAAGTGCAAGGAACCTTGCCTATGTGCGATCAAATTTTACTTGTTGCTATTTTAGGGGGGGTAAACTTAAAATAACTTAAAAACACGTCGTATTTTTCATCACTTATAAACCCACTAAGATTCAACCGGACTGGGTACTCGCTCAACCCGAGGACTTCAAGAAACATGCGGAGCTCTGCAGCCAGTTGCTTGGTCATTACCATTTGCAATGGAAGAATAGGAAAAGTTACTGGACCGCACGCACTCGATCACAAATCCAACGAGACCTTTTGGTTTGCATCATTGATTCTTATGACAAGAGCAAACTTCAGTTGCCACAATGGCCATGGAAAAGAACTCCCAAAAGAACTATCTATGAAGCGACGAAGCGAAACTTTTCTCATGTGAAGGTATCACTTAAATTTTGCGAACGTTTTCATTTTTGGGGGGGTTATTCAATCCTATATTGCTTTAGGCGGTCGTTTTTTTGGGTATTTGCTGGCGCTGGCTCTCCATGGCTGAACTAAGGAGTGCATCTGACCCTCACAGCTTGCATTATGCATGGCCATGGATGCTACTTGTACCTCGTTGACGAGGGGATGAGTGCTGGTTCCAATTGGCAGTGGGAGTGTGTACCTCATACGCTAATTCATGGTATTTGTTTCTTTAAACAATTGTTTTTTTTCACTAATTTTTCAAATTGTGTTTGGGGATACTTGAGATTAATCTTGTATCCGAGGTAATGCGGTCTTTGGAGAAAGTCTTTGTTCGGACAAGGGCTCGAAATGAACCATGGCCTTTGGAGTAACTTTGCTTGGTTTGATGTAGCCCTTGTTGCTTGCATTTTGCTGGGCTTGGTGTGATTTTAAAAAAAACTAGGCGAGTCCTAGATCATTTATCATGCAGGGGTCTTCAATACAAGGTTCTGGCTGCAATCAGATAATACGGTGAAAGAGATCCGGAATACCTACACCCACCGCATATTATCTTCTCTTACACAGGCAGGGGTGTGGTCGACCTCCAGTGTAAACCACTTGGGGGTCGGCCACACCCACGAAGATGTGGATGGTGTGCTGTCTTTGTGCAAAAGCGCCATGGATACATGTCCTATCATCCACACGCCCCAAGATGTTGCAAATCGATTGCGGAGCAAACTGTTTCCAGTGTTCCAAGCTCGTGGTGTCGATTTGCAAGTGGAAATCGTGGGGGCTGTATCTGGTTGATGGTTTGATGATGTTTGATGTACCCAGATTTGTTTTGGTTTTGTTTTCCTTTTGGGTGGGCGATACTTGACCATACATTACTTATTTAGTACCTGATCATTGGATAACGTGTTTCACTTTTTGGGGTGTTAAAGCTCACTTTCACCCAGGATTGTTATTGTTTTTTTTTATGGAACTTGTTCAACGTTTGATGTGAATTTCTGCAACTATCTTGTTCATAGTGGGCGCTAGCTTATCATTGTTTGATTGAATGATTGATTGACAATTAATTATTGATTGAATAATCAAGTTTAAATATTTTATAACCACCTGATTTATCAAAACAAACCAGGTACGAGATTGGAGCTCCATTGCTCCAGACCATGTGACGTTTGAGAAAGCCTTCAAAATTCGAAAGATCAAGGATTCTGGGGAAACACCTGTGCCGGTACCGGGATCTTTCATTTTTGCGAAGAGATCCAGTGGCTTATCTTCATTCTTAAGATTTGAGTAACAAAGTTAATCAATTTCAATTGTGTTCCAAATTCCCTTGCCGCTTCCCGAACCTTAGGCCTACCGAGCACAATTGATCTTTGCGAACGCGCGCCGCGAAGCTGGAGATCGGATGCTCAAACTGCTGTCTGGCGTAAGGACGTCTTTTGTTTGGTGAAGGCCGAGATGTCTGACGACAAGCTTTCTCAGGACCCGCTGTTGGTTTGGCCTGGTATCTTGCAGGGACAATCGGATCGGCTACTTCAGGTGGCTAATTCTACATCCTTCCTTGAGACTCCCAAGTTTGATGATGCCCGAAGGGATGAGATACGATGTTTGATGATGGCTATGAAACGAGATTTCCCTGATATGAATCGCGCCATTGCTTGGTACCAATCACTGCTGGATAGGGATCCTACACAAAGCTCCGAACGCTACCCCACTTTGACCTTCCTACGGAATGTGCCTGATGATGGGCCAAGTATCCATGACTTTCAATTGAGGGATTTGCCTCCACGGGTTCAGCCCCATAATTTGCAGGTTAGGTTTCACCGTCGTGCGTTGTGAGATCATGGGGTGGTGTGAAAATTGATTTGACCATTTTGCAAGCTAAGCCTAATTCATCAATGTTTGCTTGACAGCCTGATGGTATTGCGCTCTAATGTGCAATTTTGAACTTGGCTATTGTTCATTATCTGTTGTTTCTTGTTCAAGGGTTTGACTTTTGGGCGGTTTTCGCCTTTTTGACTTTTGGGCGGTTTTCGCTTTTTTTTTGTTGGCCATGGACTCGCCAACACCCAAAGCTCCCAGAGATGATCCCATCCAGCAGCTACAAACCTACTTTAGTACTGTTTCTGGGCTTAATGGATGGTTGGTAAATATTGTGTGTGTGTTTGTTTTTTAGTGGTTGTGGTGATCAAAAACCAAACTTGGCTTTATCACACTCATTTGAGGTGGTTGCGGACAAGAACCTTGGCGATCATCTCTTTGCAGTCTTTGCTGATCATTCCCGCATGGAACAGGCTTGGCCCATCATCATTTATACGCACAAAAAACCAAGAACTGTTCTCAAATTAACTAAACACGCCTGGTTAATTTCAAGCCTAGCTAATTTCAAGCTTCCATACACCATAAACCTCTTTCTCCCTGCAAGGCTATCAAGTTCTATGTGAGTGACAGGTTTGGGCCCATTGCAGGGAAGCCTCATGCCAACATCATGCCGATCTCTAGCCTGGATGACTTCTACTTGGGACTGGAGAAGTTTGATTTCTCAGCTAATGGGAAAAACGGATGTCGGGGTTGCCAAATAAAATAAACGGTTTGTGATTTTAAGGATGTTTGTTTAATTCTGGGCTAGCCTCGCTTATTACGATAAAACCTATGTTTTTTTGACGACCCTGCAGTTTATCCTTCGAACTGCCAATTTCAAGCTCACTTTGGCGAATTTCTGGCTTATGGTTACAAGCCTATGGAATCAGTGAGCGTGAAGTTCAACAACCAGTCGGGAGATCGTTCACTCGGAAATTTCCAAGTTGGCTACGTAGATGGGCAATGTAAATGCCTCATAATGATGGCCATAGTTGGCTTCTGCGCTGAATTGGAATTTGGGGAGAATGAGTTGCAGGACTCCAATCTGCAGAAGGTCCTTTCCAGTTTTGGATCCATCCGCTGTAGCTATGAGCATTATGGTAGCCCATCACAGTACTTTTTGCAATCGTTGAGAAACTTACCTTGAAATGTTGGTATTTTTTGAATTGTTCAGTTGTGCTCCATCCCCCGTCATTAAAATTGTTTCTATGGTTTTGGCGCTCAAGATCGTTCAAGTGATCTTAACATGTCTTGACTAAGAACTGGGCTATGTCACTGCAGAGAAGCAAACACCGAGCCCTATCAACATTGCGGCAGACCTGAACCAGGCTATCCTTGCTGAAAGAGCTGCAGGACATGGGGGGCCAAAGACTCCACTCAAAGACATGCTTGGAAAAACAGTGGCAAAATACAACCAACTTTGCACCAACAAAAAACACCGCATAGAGTCCACTCGGCGGTCCATGGTGTACAATCTGTTCCTTGGTTTTCAGTTCTCTATTATATTTTCTAATTGCTGGTTATTATCTACTTGTTGTTCTGGTTTGTACATCCTTTTTTTGACTCTTGACTGTCATCAGTTAGGCTCCGGGCACCAGCTGCATTGTTCGATTTGCTGCATGCTCACTATGATTTGCACAAACACGAAAACTCAGGCGTGGTTGTTTTGAACAAGAAGTTTCATGGTTTGATTTTGAATTCGTGGGAGCAACCATCCACCATGTCTATATTCACTCAGTCCTTGCCCTGGCAAGGTGTGCCGCACGAGGTGTTGACGCAGGATTATTGGGTGCCAGGCTCTAGTGCCCGGCAGGAGTTGGATCGGTTTCGGGGAAAGTCAACATTCCAAGAAATTTTGACGACAACCAGCAAGACCTGCATGATTTACTTCCAGCGAGTGACCAATGAGCCTTGTTAGTTATTGATTTATGCTTTGGTATTCATGTGGACCTTTATGTAGTGGATTGTAGTGGTCAGGTTTTGTTAAGGGATAGTGGCCCCCTGTTTGGCTTGTTTTCAGGGCGCGTGATGCCAAGGACTTTTGCAAGAAAGTTGCAAAGAATGCAATTGCGAAATCCAAGGACTGCATGTGGCCAAAAACACATCTATTGGTTATTGAATAGTTTGGTTGTTTATCATCCTTTCTTTCTGTTGTTGTTTTGGGGAATCCAACCCACATTCAAACCCAAACCCTGAACAGAAGCTGGCCCAATACACTGAAGAAGAGCACCTGCAACTCCATGACATCACTTGTTGCTGACTTTGGGTACGCTCACACATGGAAACTACGTTCGGTGGAGATGTCGTGGACAAACATGATGAACTTTTCATGGACGGGTACTTGGACAAAGAATGTGTTTGCCTTCACTTTATTTTCTTATCATTTATTGTTCACAGTGGTGGTTAAGGCAAATCATGTAATGAACCATTCTTTATTAGACATAAATGGTTTATTTTATAATCAAGAATGATATATTTTAGTCAAGATATGTTAGTTAGTATGTGTTTTGGCATGACTCATTGCCAAGTGCGTTTGGCTGGCGGTGATTTGTTGCCAAATGCATTTGGCTGGTCATCATGTGGTTTCTGGAAACCACGTAACACCTAGCCAAACCCATTTGGCCAATCACATTTTTGTTCCAAAAAATCAGCTTCAAATGTGATGTGGTTTCTAGAAACCACGTCACAATTCCAAGGTAAAACCAATATGCAATGATTGCTCTCCCTCTGGTTTTGAGCTGTGGTAGTTGATTGATATCTATTTTTTCATTGTTTTTGTGATGTGGTTTCTAGAAACCGCGTCGCAATTTGACATAGTAAATTTGTTCCCAATGTTGATTGATATCCTATGGTTTCGAAATAGAATTAAATTCATCTCCCAACATAGATTACTGAGGCACCTCGACAGCGACCTTGGGTCCCTGATGAAAAGTGGTGAAGAGTTCGATTGGAGCCGGGTGCCTTTCGTCTTGGAAGTATCTTGGCATTTTATGCGTGGATTGTTGTGGAGTGGCTGCTAGGGTTTACATGTGTGATTGTTAATGCGAATGTGTGTATCACGTATCATATGTTAAATTTGTTATTGAATAAAATCTAATCAGATTTTTATCACGCATGGGTCTTTATTAAGCGCAATAAACATGCAAACACTTCATGTACAGTGGTTATCATGCCTTACCTTGCACCTGCTGGTCAATGTAGTTTTGGATGGACTTTGCTTTTTGGAAACATGAAACCATCAACCTATCATTTAGTTTTTGAGCCTATGAATATCCATGATATCTTATCTATGGTTCTATGATTAGTAATTCCCGATATTGATTGCCCACTGTAAATCACATGATCTGCCAAGTCACACCGGCACGCTCAGGCCACCGGTCGGACGATGGACACCTATGTGGCTGCTCACCAGGACAAGTCGAAGAATGCGTTGTCAAAGGCCATGGAGGCTAGTTTCGTGGCTTGGGGGGAAGAACTGAAGGCCGACCAAGCTCAGTTCTGTAGTGAAAAGGTTTCGACGCTAGACTACTCGTTTGGCATTGTCAATTGTCCTTTTTGGTTTGGCCCCCAAAAAAGACCCCCACAAGTATCAAAGATTAATTGCTAAATAGAAGGGGCCAGGGGGACTTGTGGGGGTCTTTTTTTAGGGCCATCAGTTTTTTGACAACCCATTGTAGTTTGTTATTATTTTGTATTTACCATAATCCATGAGACCCAAATTATATCAACTTGTAATTTCTATATATGCTGAGGTTTTGGTTCCACATATTACCATCCCAGGATGGAAAAAGAAGGTGCGAAAGCCCGTGCAAAGTTGGTCAGTCAACTCGAGGCAAGGTGACCCAGCAAGGTTCTAATTTGAATCAAAAATCATTGTTTTTTTTTACCAGTTTTACCAACGGGAATCCATTCAATCATATTGTGAACTATGCGGTTTGTTCAACCCAACTGCTTTGAGCACTTTGTTGTTAACTATGTTTTTGGTCTTTTGCGCCGAGACGCACCCAAACCAGAAACTCAAAAAAATGGTTCCAGGTATACATATACATGTTAAATTGTATACAAAAGGTAGTTCATCTTGGAATGTTAAACCCATGATAATATCTACTGAACCATAACAACCCAACTAGTTGATCTGAATATTCACTGTTTCCCAGGACTGCCACAAGAGATCCTGGGATGCGGTATCCAATTACTTGAAAGAGTCCCTGGCACTCTTTGTTGGGAAAACAAATGATGCTGAAAGCACAGTTATGCCCGCCAGCAGATCGTGGATCCGGGACATGGCCCTTGAACATGGAAATCACCCTGATGATCATGGAATTCTTTTGTGGTGCAACTGTCCATCAATGGGTGTTATCAGTGCATCTCGGAGTTCTTTCCTCCTCAACTACATTAGCAACGTTCTGGCGGATTTTCCCCTTAACTCAGCCTGCATTTTGATCCACCCCAACCGGGCCAGCCAGCAAGAGGGAAGGCAGGGGGTTAGGGGTTATCGGACGATCCAACAAATAATGAGACAACAAATCTGTCTTCTTGTATACAAAATATACCAAGCTGCATGTCAAAAAATCATGTTTGAAAATTGATGTAAATACTTATCTTCTGATTCATCGAAAAAAAATAATTTTCCAAAAAAAACAGTGTATGAAATTGATCCTCAACTTACATATTCATTCAGGGACCACACCGTCCCCTCCATCCATCCCCTGGCTTGTCTTGCCTTCATCATCCTTCATCGCCAGGAAACCTGGCGCCAAGAAAGAGGACGCCAGTGATGATGAAGCGAAGGTCAAAGTGAAGGAGGACCAGGGAGATGAGACGGATGAAAGTGATGGTGATGATGAACGCAAAAACGCTCATGCTGACTTGGAAGACATGGTGAGGAAGGTCAGGTTCAATCTGGAGACACTGGCCTCACATTAGGAAACCTTGAAGGTTCTCAGTTTTACCGGCATCCTCTTTTTGCATCAACTGATTGATTGATTATTGATTACTGGTTTGGGTGGTTGACAAATGACTGATTATTGGTTGATTAAGTTTGTGGGTTGGTTGGATTTCATGCTTTGATAAGTGGCTAATTCTCAACCACCGAATAATTATTATCCATAACTTATACTACAATCAATCAGTCTGTCAACCTATCAATCGATCAGTTTCTCAAACGAGACAATGGTGTGGTAATGGTTATCAACTGTTGGTCGTAATCGATCAATTTATATCAATTCAATGCATGTACCTTTTGTCAGACAACTAATGAATCAATAAGCTGTAAACCACTGGGTCAATCAATGATCAGTCAATAGGAAAACTGCCGGTAAGTCAATCGATCAAAATGTTTTCCCATATGCGTGTGCTACTTGATACCCAGGACCAACTTTCGGATGAGAGATCGCAATCTGAAAGTCAAAAACTTGACCTTTGTTTTTGACCCAGCCGTGGACTTAGCAAGTAATGTTGAGTCAACAACATCTCACTTGGGTGCACTTCACCAACCCAATGTTGAGTTGACCCAGAATAACAGCCCATGCCCAGGCAAGTGTGTACGGAAAAAGGGAAGGCGCTCTGAGCGGGCTCATGATCCTTTCGGGCAACAGCAAAAACATATTCCGGCAAACCAAAGCCTTCAAAACCGGGGTGGTGCATGGGATCGAGATGTTGGCAAGATCCAACATGGTGAAGCCTGAGTCAGTTTCTTGTATGAAATCAAAGTTCCCAAGTTAGTAAGTAAAGTTGCCTTTGATCCTTCAAACCACTTCGACTTCCCCGTGCTGCTGCCTCATGAGGTTTCTCCGCAAAGAGGATCTTCCACTTTGCCTCATTTGGGGCGCGCTTTCACAGACATCCAGGAAATGAAGCAAGCGACTGGGTCTTTATTGGGCCGTGATGAGAATTGATGAGAATCCAATTTCTGGATGTGAAAGTGAACAAAGAATGTTCTTCCCCCATAATAATATATTTTCCGCACATCATGAGGTTGCAGGTGGCACTGACTTCATCCAGAAAGTGGTGGAGGCTATGCATGTCCCAACCATCAAAGCAAAAATCATGCTTGATTTGAATGCCTACGATGGCTTTGCAGCTTTGGCCTGTGTGGAGGACATGGTTTCACTTAAACATGCCCCAAACGTTCAATATAAGTCACACACACATTGATGGTGATGATGATGGTGACGCCAACCTCCAGAAACCTACCAGATTACTATCACCGGTATCGTAGATTATGTCAGCTTCGGTATCGTAGATTATGCCAGAATCATTGCCAACAAGCAATATCACTACCCTGTAGGTAGTCTTAGTGCTTCAAAGAACAGGTATCTTATAATTTATAATTAATGATTAATGCCTCAACAATTATGTGCTTGCCAGTTAAATCACATTCAGTGAGCCATAAAATTTGAAATCAATGATCAATAAAGGGACCAACACCCCTCATGTTCCACAATATTCCGCAGGACATGTGCAAAGGCAATGCGGCTGTGTGTGGTTCCCTGTGCCTAGACCACTCAGGGACTGATTTGATGTCCAGAGTATCCAACAAGGTGTACGAGCATTGCCGCTCTGGTGCCATAAGTCTCCCGGGGTTTCCGGATTTCAACCCCATCATCCATGCGTTGAAATCGCACCAACCAGTGGAACGGCAGAAGTCCTTTCGGGTCTCTGTTCAGCAAATGGATCGTTTGGTCGTGCTGCAAAGTCTTGCCCAAAAATGGTTGGATACTGAATCGACCCGGGAGCGTGCTTTGAAGATCATTTCCGACCACAATGATACCTACAACTGTGATGGACAATACTGGTTGGAAGAGAGGAGCGGAACTATTGTTTGCTCACTGAAAGGAATGAAACCTTCTCGATCTATAAGTTTTCCAACCTTTGTAATTTTTTGATGATGGTATCTAAGGGATAGGGTATTAACATCTGACCAATTGATTTGCAGTATAATATATTATAGCAGGGTATCGTGTATCTATAGGATATGTGTAGGGTATCCATAGGTCATCGAAATGGTATCTAAGTAATCAACAATCCTGCCACAGCACGCCCGCCAGGAGAGAGGTGTCGGCCTCTGAAAATGCCAGCAGGGCGGAAGAACAGCCCCGCAAGCGCATCAAGCTCGAAGCCTTCAGTGAGCAGGACATCTCGAAGCTTGGGAATGTGATTCTTGGCTATAGTGGCCATGGGAATCCGGTGAAAAAAACATACCCAGGATCAGAATGTAATGACAGTTTGTGATTTCAAGTTGTCCATTTTGATACTTTCAGATCTGCACCATGATTTTTTACCACGTGAAGTGGTATCCCATGACTCACATGTCACTGGCTAGTTAAGGAAAAAATTCAGCGTGAACAACAGCCTCGATCTGATCTTGGCCGGGCAACATGGAGATCAACTGTTTGCATCTTCACGCTCTCGAAACCAATTTTTCGAGGGCAGAGAGATGTTTCCCAACTACAATATCACTATATATCATTCACTCAATGAAATCACTTTATGCTAAGGTTCAGCTATGGAAGCGGAGAGTGGCGCGATGGTCGTGCGCCCCGCCTGAAAAATCCAACTCAATCCACTTTAGTTATTCGAATTCCCAAGGGGTCCCAAGTCCCAAGAGTAGAATTCAGAGACCATACCCTTGCAAACAAGTTGCAATAAAACCTGACAGTTGGTTTTCTGATATTTATGTTTTGATTAAATGTAAGTAGATGTGTTTATAAAACGGTCATTTTTTTGTCGGATTGATAAAATAAAACGATCAGAAATTCCAGTCCACCAATCAATGTATTCATCCCGCATCGCCCGTTCTCTGAGGAAGCAGAAGAATGTCTTCAGGATTCCGAGGGACGATGGATGAGTTTCTCCGCAAAGAAGGACACTCTGCTGATCCTCGAAAAGAAAGGCCTGCCGAGTCACATCAAGTTGGAGAACTTGGAGGTGGCAGTGACCCTTCAGTCGCTGGTATGCGATCTGCAGGATGCAGGGGAAGCCACTCATCTAGCAATTCGAAATAGTAACGCTAACAATGTAATATCAGTTCCACCCTAATCGTACTTAGCCATGACCACCATTACCATCATCAGAAGCAGCTTCATGATCTGATGATGAGCCATGATAATCTCATGATCAGCGCCATCAATAACATTACCATCACCAAACATCATCACCAACATCACCAATTTATGTCCACACGCCAACTGAGGCCAAATTGGAGGTATCGCATCACAAACTGAAGGATGAGGATTGGGTGAGTGTCAAACCACTTGTCTTCGTCATGGACAATCCCCCGGAGGAAGGGTCAGGCAAAAAAAGGGGTAGGAATGCCAAGGCTGGAGTTCAAATCACGATGAAGAACTTTGGGTCATGGATGTCTATCACAAAGGTGAAGGCCAACGAGAGTACCCTGAAGCTAGCTTGGCGTGTTCGGTTACTTGACATCACCATTTGTAGTAACCACCGGGTCATGTTTTGAACTTGATTCTACATTTTTGGATTTCTTCTCAAAATCTAGGTTCTATGTCTTATCGCTCAACCATCTAAGGCTTGATTGCAGCAGTGGCGATGGAACCAAAGTTCTGACTCCAATTCGACCGGTGGCAATTTTGGGCCATGATTTGGATATTGGACAGGAGACCGTAAGGCTGATGTGATTTAGATGTTTCTCAACACATTTCTTCCCATGATGAGATATCATACAACGAGCAATTTCTAGAGTAAAAACTCGAATCTCATAATCTCAATGTTTTGCTTGGGAAAAGGATGTGGTTCGAACATGGTGGGCAGCCACCATAGGGCCAAGGCCACTCAATGAGTGCCATTCTTCAGGGGGATTGCTCAGAGCTCCGGACATTCTGAGAATCATTTTTTATACGTACATGGATGGTTTGTTATTATTATTTTATTATTATTTATTATTATTTATTATATATGATCAATTTGTTATTATTATATTATGAGGTTTTCATTGCATCATGATATCGCAATCTCGTTGATTTGATGGGCTCTGAGCTCTCAATTGTCAGCATCTCCTGAGAAAGATGCATACCGTTGGTGCACTCAGGCTAAAAATGATTACAGCTGATTGCTAACCTGCTAATCATTTCGGAAAGGACAGTGGTTGGCATCACAACTACTGATGTCTCATGGCAAAACCATGATGGCCCTTAGAAATTTGTGGATCAATCTCCTGATTTTGTCCCTTTGGGGTTGCAGTATCGTGTCTGCCATGAGCATGCCAAAGCATGATGATGAAGATAGTGGTGTTGAAGAAGTTCCACTGACCACCACTTTCCGCCCTCCAGCATCTCATCTGAAGTCTATGTTGAAAAGAAACAAACACAGTAGTTGAATCGTGCCAAACATATCGTTAAAAAAAAACATTGCCTCATTAGTCACCGAGGCATTTGATATGCGCCGAATGATGTCTTCATCAACTATGGGATCATCAGGAGCATCATCAATTACTCCGCCCCGGCTTTCTTCGCCTGCCCCGCCTGCTTCTGCAAAGTCTTCTGGCCCACCTGCCACGACTGCGAATGCAGCGCCAATGAATGCAGGCTCAAAAACGGGTTGGGGAATCGGTCAACATTGATCAATAATAGTTTACCACTCCAAACCGTGATTTTGTTTCATTTTGGAATCAATAATGTACAAAAGATTACAAAAGTTTGGAAACATACAAGTTAGACATGTGCTTCCCATCTAAGTCTTTGATTCGTTCTGGATCTTTGCGAGGCATGGACATGGCTCATCATGCTCTACCTGCCCGGTTTGCGGCTTCAGAGTCTTCATCGGTGTGTAGCAAGGGTGAGGTTGCCCCCAAAACAAATGTCTTGAAGAAACCTGCTAGCAAAAGAAAAGCTACCGAAGAATCCCCGGAAAGTGATGCTGACCACCGCCCTCTTGGTGGGACTGATCCGAGTGATGATGATGAAGCGGATGGAACTTCTGGTGGTCTACTTGGTGACACCGATGATGATGGGGTCCCCAAAGATTTGAAGGTTGCAAAGAAGCCTGCTACTGCTGCTAAGAAAAGACCAGCCGCTAAGCAGAGCCGTAAAAAGAAGGAGCCCAACAAATCAATCAAAACATATTGAACTGCCAACTTGCACTCATGGTACCGCAAGACTTTTACTTATAAATAATTATAAATGATATTTTCCTGCTCAGCATTCAGGAGGCAAGTTATGGCCCTGCTGAAGATGGTGATGCAGCGTATCTTGGTTTTGAAAAACATGATACTGCGTATTTTAAGGCATAATCTTGACGATGGTACATCATGATTCATCTATCATGTTGTTGCGAGGTTGCCGGTGCCAGCACCAGAATCTTTTGAGATCATGCAAGAAGAACAATACCCGGACAACCAAGAGGGTCTCTACACTCCACCCGATGATCGATACGAACCTTGGATCATAAATTGATATCATCAATTTAAATTGTCGTGAATGGCACTTTCTCATGATATGAACCTTAGATCCATCCCTTCCTTCCCAATGCGGTCAGAAGAAGCACCTTGAAGAACACTTCGCAGCGAAGTGCGTGGATATGGATGGTGGAAGTTCTCCTCAGCTCCCCGCGCCCAAGCTGCGTTGGGAAGGGAACATCTACCATTGGTTCCTGGTTAGTTACCATGTTGCCACTGGTGCATTATGAGTTCTTATCCTAATTCATTATCACGACATCATGGTTACTTTGATGGATAATTGCATCATTTTTAATGATGGTTGCCTTATTGTCTGGGAGCTCGATTGCCATAAACTTAGGATCATCTTATGCGGGATATCCAACAACTAAGTGAAAACTATGAACGCATTAAATACCATGCCATTCATGATGTTTATTTATCATCAGTTCCTGAGGATACTTTGGTGGTTGACAGCCCTGCAGTTCCTCCAACAGAAATTGAGGCCTGGCATTCCCGGCATTTTTGCACTTCCTATATATCGTTTTGGGGTTGAGACAGCTTTTGGTTCAAATACTATGCGTAAAATAAACAATCAGTCCCTTGATTTCAAAATGCGGTGTGAGATCTTGATAACCGATGGCGACATCCCGGTCAATCAAAGCTGGTGCCAAGGGGCTCTATCTTTTAATCTATTTGTACCAGAGCTTTGGGTATCTCTTGAGTATCAAATCAGTTACAGTTGATGTCACGCCCTTCCACGCCATACGGTAGCTAAGAAATCACCTAGTGGAAATTTGTGTTTCTGATTTCACATCAATGGGTGACTTGACAATCATGAATCATAAACATATGAGAGAACTCTTGCCTTATCATTTTTTTCCACGCTTGTGCATGTGTCCCTCCACCCGGCGGAGGCTGGCAATACTGACTCTTTGGGAATGAATGATGCAGAGTTGCTCAACTTCATGCACAACAGCGCAGCTGCCACGGCAGTGGATTTGGATGAGGCTTGCTTGATGCATGAGGATGGTTGGGTATCCACTGAGATGGTATTAGCCACAAAGAATGCCATTGACAATGCCCTTAGCCAAATTCATCGGCTCATGCATCCCTCGCACCAGACCCTGAACTCCGAGAACATCACCAAGAAGGATGATACCGCTGAAGCAAATGCTGACCGAGAACATAAAGCTGCTGGAGACACGCTGGCATATGAGACACAGGATGGCATGGACAAGGCAGAGACGAGTTTGGATGCGGAGCTTCTGGAGAAGAGGCAGAGGGAGTACATCACCTATGAAATGGATGTGCTGAGGACTTCCCCTGTTACCTGTGACAAGTTGAAACTGGAGCTGTTCTACATGAGACAGATTGTCACCGGCGCACTCCCCTTGCCTGAGCTGCCTGAGCTGCCTGAGCTGCCTGATACCTGCTTAGTGATCGGTGAGCCTGAGAAGCCTGACGCCTGTGGACCTGAGCCTGAGAAGCCTGACGCCTGTGGAAGCCCACCTGTGGTTAAGCCTGAGAAGCCTGACGCCTGTGGAACCCCACCTGTGGTTGAGCCTGCGAGCGCAGCCCTGAAGGCAACGCCAAAAACAAAGGTGACGCCAAAAAGAGCTGCAGCAAAGTCCAAGAAAGCTACTGGGTCCAAGGAGGCCACAAACAATGTGAAGAAAGCGGGGCCGAAGGCTAAGGCAAAAGCCAAGGCCAAGGCCAAGGCCAAGGCCAAGGCCGTTGTGAAGAAAAAGGTGTCTGTGGCCGAGCAGAATCAGGTGGATTTGGCCAAAAAGCTCCATTGCGTGGCTTGGCACGCTGATTACACAAGGGAGGGAATTTACCAAGTTTCAAGTCAGTCTTGTGCCAAGTCATGTTAAGCTCAGCTGGTCATCACCAATTTCAATCATTGCTGGACCGCCATCAGGTCTACTGTGCAGCTTTGAAGTCTGCACAGAATGAAGGCTTGAGTCGCATCACATGCCGTTCGATGGCAGCTGATGCCCGCAGGCAGCAACTCGCCTTTTACTTATGAATTCGAGCCGGCGGTCATTCAGTTCGTTATTTATCAGCAATTATTCTGAGATGATATTCAGACTGGGTTCCAACATTCAGAACTTATCCACACAGCATCGTGATCTAAGGTGGATCATGGAAAATGGACACGGTGAGAACCCTTTGGTCCAAAAGCATTTAAAGTGAGATGACATAGATGGCACTGGGTTGATGCTGGGCGCTTAATGCATCAAAGTGTCGCAGGATACCGCGACCGGAGCTGTGCCAAAAACCGCCGGAAAAAGAGCCAAGCGGCAATCGCTCTGTGGTCTCTCAACATGACATGATACCCAATCATTGTCATCATAGTTTATCCCTTAGCTTCCATTCATTGTCATCATAGCTTATCCCTTAGCTTCCATTCATGCTTATCCCTTAGCTTTCCATTCATTGTCATCATAGCTTATCCCTTAGCTTACCATTTATTGTCATTCATCATCATAGCTTCCATTCATTTTGATCAGATCCAGTTTCAACTTGGAAAGGATCCAGATACAACTGGACATGCATTAATATAATATTATACCGTTTCAGGTTGTTCACACTTCAAGGCTGCCTGGGTAGACCTGTTTGAAATCTCCCCTGCCTTAAAGATTCTGCCCAATTTCAGTTTCCCCGGTTGTGGCTCCTGGAGGGATCTTCGGACGGCTTCCACGAAGCCCCTCAGCACTGAGGGCCTCACTGAGGGCATCATCTTCACCTCCATCTGTGCCAGGCGACGCTGAGCTCGCTCTGCACAGGGGCTGCCATGTTGCACAAAGATCTTGAAAGCACGCTCCATCAACTCCTTTGCTCGGCGAAGATCTCCCAGAGAGCCATGAGCTGCGCTGAGATTGTACACGGTAATCGCTACTTCTGGATGTTCTTCCCCGTAGTGCTACTCCTTATTCTCAGGGCACGCTCGAGCAGGTCCTTCTTCTGCCTGTGGTCGCCCAGGCTTCCATGCGCATTGCCCAGATTTGTCAAAGTCACTGCTACTTCGGGATGTTCTTTCCCGTAGTGCTGCTCTTTGATTCTCAGGGCACGCTCGAGCAGGTCCTTCTGTTGGCTGTAGTTGCCCAGGCTTCCATGCGCATTGCCCAGATTTGTCAAAGTAATGGCTACTTCGGGATGATCTTTCCCGTAGTGCTGCCCCTGGATTCTCAGGGCACGCTCGAGCAGGTCCTTCCGCTGCCTGGAGTCGCCCAAGCTTCC